ACTGGTGGCGAGTTACTCTAAGGTGAATTTCATTTCACTTCTGAAGCAGGCTCACTATTCCCCCCTGCTTCAAAGCATTTCTCCTACATAAAAGTTGTTCCTTTCACTGCTCACTTCAGATCCCTTCCTGTAGCAGCTCATGTACTATTCCGACTGATCCTACTGTTTTATTAGTTACATTCTGGAAACCACAGCAGTGAAAGAAAATGAAAAAATTACACCTTCCAGCTTTCTTGTACACAGCTTTACATATAAATAAAAAAGCTATGTTGTACTTTGTGCATAACATATATGTAGACATAGACATAAGACACTGTGGTTTTAGAATCACATGACTTTGATACATTAGATGTATTTTTGTTCAACTATTGTTGTTGTTGGAAGGTGTATTTTTTCCACTTCTGAAGAAGACCATCCATTAACCCCTGCTTCTAGTTTTTAAGTTTACCTAGGTAAACACATCCTGACCTCTCTCCATCTTGTCTTCTCACGCAACTTTGGTTTTCACAGCAAACAAGCATATTCTCCAACATGTTCTGAAAATATTTTAACTCATAACTAAATATAAACTAACTAACATAATTAATGAAGACAATATTAAAGAATATAATTAAAAACATAAATATCAACTAATATAAAATAATACACCAAATAAAATTTCTTTAACAGTCACCACCGCTGGGCTCAGTTGATATTTCAATGCCACAGCTACTACACAGGTTTTACTCACTTAAATAACGCATTTAAAGATTTTGAGCAATTACGACAACAACTCCCTTTAATATAAGTTACCCTCTGTGGAGAGAAACCAAACCTAGACAGTAATATCACATGATATTTGTTCGACTTTGATTTGTTGAACACATTGTGTGTAAATTGAATAACTCCAGAACATTTTTTTTCAGTGGACTAGGTACCACTGTAACCCCACGTGGTTTAGTTTAGGGCAAGAAATATTCTCAGATATCATATAAAAATGCAGTTAAAACTGCCTCTTTTGTAACAATGGCTGAGAGGTACTAAAGTGTATCTCAGTTAGCGTACTTAAATAAAGAGGCTACCTCTATATAGCCCTCTATACTATATCACAAAGCCCGCCCTGTACTATGTATGTAGGCAATACAACTACATATACCACTTGACCAAGCGAGCACTACATGTTAATTACCTGCCTCTATTATAAAACAACTGGGAGAGGATTTAACTAGGACAAATTCTGTAACATAAAAATTTCAGTCCATCCTCAACATCAGAAAAAAACCCCAGCAGTCTTACCAGGTAGACATGTTCTTTATCCTGGAAGGCATAGAGAAGCTGTGGTATCCAGGGACTGCTGTTTAGGGCCAGGATCCTCCGCTCCTCTTCATGAAAAACCACCTGAGGAGAATTGCAAAGGTAATCAGCATATATACATTAAATAAATGCACAACAGAATTGCTGGACAAACTGGTATCGTGAGTAGTGTACCAGCCACATAATCAATCTCAAACATTAAGAGGGTAACACCTTCAGGGTGTCACAGGGGTTTATATGTAGTCAAGCTTTCTGTGTTTTATTTAGTTAATTCAAAGGAGATCTTAGCAAACCTTTCAACATCAGTCAAAGTCAACATGAACTTTATTGTCACTCAGACCATACAACAGAAGAGCACAGCAGAAGCAAATTCCGTTTCTCCTAGCTCAATATGCAGTCATATAAAAAAAATGTATAAATATACAAACATAAATAGACATAATGGACATAATGACTTTGAAATAAACAGTGCAACATGCCATATTATCACATAATCCCTCCTTTCCTAGCTTCAGTTTATAATGCTTGTTTTGTTTTTTGTTTGTTTTAAGTGAGATGTAATTTAAATTATGCAAAGTAGTCACAGGTGGCAGGAGCAAAATGTTTCTTGTTCATACAAGTTGTTCATTATATTGCTCACTTCAGATCCCTTCCTGTCACAGCTCATGTACTATTCTGAAAGAGATCTGTTTTATTAGTCACATGCCAGAGAGCACAGCTGTGAAATAATGTACCCACATTTTGTTTTGCTGTATTCAACCTTGCAGCGCCCCCCAGTGGGGGCTTTTGTGATTCCAACTTTGGACCACAAAATAGATAAATACACAGCACAAAGCTTGCAGGCAGGATAGCAAAAATGAAAAAACAACACTTATGTAAAACATTCTTAGTCCAACAGACATACTATTTTGGGAATAAATGCAAAGCAGTACAAATTCATGAAAGCAGGGCATTGTTTTCCTCTCATTCATCTTACTCTTCTGATTATTCATGTTTATTTTGTTATATACAAGTTTACACAGTTTATGGTTAACATTTGTCAGTGGTCTGACAAATACGTTTGAAGTAATTAATGAAACTTTAGAATCTGTATCTCTAAACATAAATCTATCAGCACCATAAGCATCTTAAACTCAAGGTACTAGTTGAAAAAAAAAAAACACTCAAAATTGCATGTAAAAGCCAAATGATCATTGTAACCAAGAAAAATGTTTTTTTTAAGCTTGTTGCAGTGTTTCACCACACTAAAATGAATATTGATCTTACATTTTCTTGAGTGCGTAAAATTGTCTTGTCCATGACTTTCAGTGCACAAATGTCTCCAGTGGCCTTCTCTCGGACAACTTGGACTTGAGCAAAGCGACCACGTCCCACCACTGCACGCAGTTCAAAGTCATGAGCCCCAGGCTGCAGAGCCCTCAGCTCTGAGACTACTTCAGAAACTGTTTCACAAACAAAACACACAGAAGTTCTACAACCACAGTTTCTGAGAAATTAAGTTAAAAACACGACAAATACAACACATTATGCCAAATATTTGAAGTCTATCTGGCAAGTACTGAGAAAGATATGGTCTGTACAGCTTCATTGATAGTTATAGTTTATATTTGTAAATTGTGGACTATGCATTTTAGTGGTCACTAGTGAGTATCATACACAACGAAACAAAAAAAAAAAAACACATACTCAAAGTGAATTTATTCTGTAAAAAAACTTAACTAGAAATAGAAGAAAAATATTATGTTCTTCAAAAACAACAACAGTAAAATAGCTAGCCATTTACTGTGAATAGGGATGTCTGAAAAGTTGAGCCACTTGGATGAACTGATAAAATATCGCACTTTCAACTAATGTAACTGGAAAAACACTGGACTGATAAAATTAACAACAAAAATAGGAAATTCTTTATATGTGTAAAATATATGCTTACACTTGTTGACAAAGTTTGCCACATGGTGTATCCTCATAAGCTCTGGGGAGGTGCACTCTTGGTAGAGAAGGAGCAGAGCCTCCAGAAACTGTTCCCGAGCCAAAGTGCATCCTCCCTGTTGCCCACACAGGCTGGCTCGTCCCTGGGGACAGCACATGAACACAGGAAAAGGAAGTCAGCTACCTAACAGTTACTGCGGTTGGTTTTAAACAGTATAAAGCAGTTGAGACCTAACATGTACTCAATTAATGGCATTGGGGCACCCCAGCCATACTTTACCTGAAACACCTGGTTGAGCCGCAAGCTGCGACTGGCGATGGGGTCCGTGGAGGAAGGCAGCGTTTTCAGGCTTCCCTGACTCACGTATTTGAATTTCAACATGGCTGCTTAACAACAAATAACCTGAAAAACATATTTGGTCGAAGTGAATGGACGTCTGTATCGTCCAAACAAAAGATTGAAGTGGAGCGACAAATGTCAACAATGCATCTCTTTAGCATGCTAAACTGACGTTGGCTAACGTCTGTTTGCTGACGTCGCTAAATACCCAGACAAACAACGTTAACAAGACAAACATACATGTCCTTAACAGAGCGGCGTGAGAATACTCACCGGAGTGCCATGCAGGTAGATAAAATATTCTTTTTAATTTAGACTAAACATTGATGAGCTAAGAGGAACACACTGTTTTCCTTTTTCCGGTCAACTTTCAAATTTTGCGCGTTCATCGCCCAACCCTCGAGCCTTCTGAATGAAGGTGGCGTCTGATTGGATGCTTAGGTTTTTTTTATGGGCGGGTCTGAGTGTTGTTTTAACCAATGGCAGACGGTTTACCCCTGTTATTCATCACATCAATCAGGGGTTCTCTCTTTCTATGCTCTTGCATAAAGAAATTGAAACATTTGTTATTTGCAGTAAACACATACGGAAAAATGAACATATGAGAAAAAAGAGATATAACAAAGCCTATGTTATTAGAATTAGAAAAGGATGAATTGAAGTAAACTAATAATTTGACATATATTGTTGCTGCTAACAAAAATACATTGTCCACCAATTTTTTTCTTTGGATGAAACAGGCCTAATTGTTGTGTACTCCAGTCATTTAGTGTTGTGGTCCCATAAAGCTTGCAGACTAAAAATACATTAAAAATAAAAAAGAATTGCCAAAGCAGCAGAGGCTGAGATATCCTACATGTAATATTGAGACTTTCATGCTTTAGCATGGGTCAAGCTCCTAACTGGATCCTACATTTCCCATAATTCAACCAGAAGCATCTCTCTGCTCTTCAAAATCTCACATCTTTTAAAAACCACACCCAGTTTGAAATAGACTTTCTGTTATAAATTAGTAGTTTCAAATTCAAGCCAAGATACCCCTGATGACAGGGTCACAGAAAACATTACGCTACTTTCCCACAGGTTGAGTGGTTGCCTACTCCTCGTGGCAAGTAAACTGACCCAGAGTGTTTGGTTAAAATTTGTCCTCTTTAACAATACCATAGTTAAATCAATCTTTTTACAGTTATTTTCCAGTTTAGATTATCAATGTTGCTTCTTAATGGCTTTATAGTGACTAGCACAATACTACAATACCCTTAACCTCACACATTTTAGGGTTTTTTTGTGCATAATAAATAAGATGCAATAAATCTCAGACTACCAAAATCAGGACCAAAACTTTTTTATTTCCAACAGAAATACATGTTTCATTGTCTGTTCCAGTTTTCCAAAATTGCATGGTCAGATAGCCTAAACTAACAGGGGGTCTGTTGGAGAGACTGGGTCCTGGCTGGCCTGGCCTTCATCTTGCCCCAGTTGCTGTAGGAGGTGCTGGAGGTGTGGCGTTAAGATTGGGGTTGAGTTTGGGATTTGGGGTTGGGAGCGGGAGTAGGGTTAGGGTTAGGGACGGGGTTGGGATCGGGAGTGGGGTTGGGAGGTGTAGGGGCAGGGGCAGGGGCAATATAGCACCCTTTCTTGTGCCACTGCATGTCCCGCACACGTCGGACGGACTGGATCTGAGGTGCAGTGGCTCCCCAATCATTCCAGTGCTTGAAGTCTCCATGCTCAAACACATACTGGCTCCCTCTGTAGCCTGGATACATGTATCCCACCCACCTTCAGAGGGAAGAGAGAGAGTAGCATATCACATACATGGGACAGTGAACTGGGCCACATTATAACAGGATGCTTATTTTAAAAAAATACACACCCATTACATTATCTTAAAAAACCTAGTAGCTATGAATAGCATTGATCAATGAGAAGGTTACAGCTTACGTTCCACTAATAGCCTTAGCACTGGCCACGCGGTCCTGGAAACCATGAGCCCAGAGACTGGGGACATCATCATCAACAATCTCCATCTTTCTGCCTTCAAAGCCTGCATTCTCAAACAGGTTCAGCTTGTGATCTGCACTGTCCTGTGGAGAAAAAAACAACAGGTTTGAGCATGTCTGGCAGGAGGTTACATATGCTAATATTACACCCATATTACTGACCACTTTCAGAGGCCTGAATGAGCTCAGGCTGTAGATGCTCTGGCAGTTGGTCCAAGTGCTCCAGCGAGGATACTCTCCCTTCTCGAGCACAAATTGCTCTCCTGCAAAACCTGGACGCTCAAACCCTACCCAGCTGAGGACACGGAGAGAATACATCACATATATATGTACACGTTCATCCTAAGCAAACGGAAAGTGCTTGAAAATAGGATGCAGATGTAATAAAAATTGGTGAGACTTCATGAAGGGAAGCTGAATCACTCACGGTCCTGACTCCACAATGACTGAGCCAACTCGCTGTGTCTTCTCCAACACATTTTTACATTCACCAGACAACTCCACCTTCTTTCCACGAAAGTTCTCGAACTCAAAAACTGCCAACTGCAAGACAGGAACAGTTGACAGTGATCAGCTAAGTCTCAGTTCCACGGTGATCCTGACCATTTTTATTTTATTCAATACCCTTCTTTCTGTGTATATGTTATGTGAAGTCAATAGAAAAGTTGTTTCATAATAGGTACCTTATATGTGGCTCCAGCTCCTCCCTGGCCCTTCTCTGCAGGCAGCTGGTCTGGGGTTCCCTGCTGTTCCGTCATTTTACCCTTACAAAGCACAGCATTACATTGTTTAGTGATTTTGTGAAAATAAAAGAAGAAAATTGTGTCTCCTGTAACGCCGGAAAAATTGTATAAATTAATACATGGTCATAGGTAGGACTTTAAACAGCTGCAGAAACAAAAACAATTCCTTTTTTATAGAGCTGCTTGGTTCTGATCTAATTGCTAACAATTCAAATATATCAACAAAACATTTGCATATTTAATTTTACTCAAATCCTAGTTGTGCCAGTTTTATACAAAAGAATAAGACATCAACAGTGCACGCACAAAATGCTACTTAAGAAGCAAGCATAAAGGAGAAGGAATAGGAAGAGTGTAAAAGAGAAACACCTGTCAGGGAGAGGGATGATCTTTTCCTTTTTTTTTTTTTACCTGGATGGCTTGTGCTTCACTTCACCACGTACAAGCCACACTCTCCGTCTTTCCTCTTTCTTTTCTCTCTCTTTTCTGTCTGTCTCAGTGTGAGGGTGTGTGTGGGTGTGGAGGCCTGGCGAGCGGGTCGGTGGAGGCCAGTTGGGGGTATTTATGGTTTATTTCTGGCCACAGCAGCAAAAAGCCTGTTGATGCAGCAAGTCTGTCGCACCCATTGTGTCCATCACACTGCTTCTCAATAGGCTTGCCCCTCTGTCCCTGGCACACTGGCAAACGCTGCCCAGCTCTGCCCATGCTGCCATCCTGACCATGATCCTATAGTGGGCACACGCACTGACTGCCAGCCAAGAGAATGAACAGAGATCAGTCTCACTCAGCACTATTGGCCCCACCCAGCTATCTTGCTCTCCACTCTCCTGTCTTCTACCTGTTTCTTTATCTTTCTCTTCATCCAGCATCCAAAATGCTGCATCAGACTTTCTTGCTTTCTGGTGGTGGCATCCACCAAAATACTTGTATTAATATAATTTCCATGTCTGGATTCCTTAGCTTGCTTTCCCTGAGCACATGAATTACTTTTGACTTGACCAAAAACTGTGATGGGAGTGGAAAAGGCAACTTATCAAACACAAATGAGACTGTAGATTTTATTTTGTTTCCCCATAAAAAAATACAAACTCCATTGCATTTCTTAGAAAACTTTTTAATAAAATTCCCTCAATTTCCTCTTATCATACAGTATGTTGACCATAAATGATTACAGCATTGATGACAGTCAATCAAAAACATTAAAAAGGCACTGAAAAAGAATCTCAAGCAGACAAATGCATTTTTCTGGATTAAAGATTTTACAAAACATTCTTTCCTGATTCTGTTATAGCATGCCAAAGAGTTCCTCCCATCTGACTGTTGACGGCCTGACCAGCTTCTGGGTGTTTTAATAAAACCAGGGCCTGCATCTTTACATTTTGTGGAACCTTATTTTAAAGAGAAGAGAGGCATTCATGTTGTTATAAACTGAACAAATTCCCCTGACCCAGTTACTACAGTTATGTACGTGATTATTCTATTGCTTGGATGCACTGTATAGAAGGTAATTCTTTATAATGTTTTTTTTTTTTAAAGTGCTAGGTAGGTTTACTTGAGATCTGTGATTGGTAAAATAATGTAAAAGACATTTTATAAAATTTCAACTAAATACACACAAGGTGCGATCCATTATTTATATTCAGTATTTCCTGTATATACAGTGTAGGTGTGTGTGTGATGCTATATACCCTGTTAAAGGCCTAGTGTCATCATTCCCTCTGAGTACATGATGGACTTACACACTGAAACAACAACACAGTGTATGGCTTTGCTCTAAATCATATTGGGGTATTCACCCTCCATTGAGCCTCTGTACAACAGTCGATAAAACATGCACTTGGCATTATTAACACATCAGTCTTGGCACATAGCCTTGGCACTATTTCATTTACAAGATGAAAAGTTCGTGATGGCCTCAGCGAGTTCCCCTTCTGCATATACCATTAAAGGTCCAAAATAAGGCACTCAAAGTGCAAAATGGAGCAATCATGGCAAGGTGTCTGTCAGCAGCAGCAGCAACCGAGATGGATTGATTGTTGTTCAACAACAACAACACAGTGTCTCCTGCAGGCAACAAAAGATTCAGTAGGTTCAGAACAAAACTTCAAACCAATAAAAACATCTTATAACATCTTATCTATATATACACTTATTTATGTAATACATTTAGGATTTATCACACAACATTTGTGTGATTCATTTTTAGCATAGATGGCCCAAGTTTTACTTAAACCCATAACCTTGTTACAAGGGCATCCACTTTTTTTCACCAAGCTACACATAACCAAAACGGTGAAGTCAAGATCCAAATACGACCGCGAGCAGCAATTGAACAGGCAAGTAGCAAAGCATCAAGTAGAGCAAACTGCATTCAAGTACAATGAGGACATTTTACCCACTGTACAGAAATGACAGGAGAAAGTGTTGGAGAGATATGGACTATTTCCTGTTTTTGTCTCTGCTGTCAGTTTAGTCACAGTCTGTATTAAAGAACACGAGTGTTTCTGACAGCACTGCAGAAAAGTTTAAACCATTCACTCTCTATTATTGCAAACCTATTCAGCTGTCTTGAATTATGACTCACAAGCAAATTAGTCTCTTTAAATAATGCCTTCACTCCTACAGTAATTCATTTTATACGCTAAATGTCAGAACCTTCATGCTCAATGCTCATCTATGGCTGATCCTGTTAAGTCCCATAATGCTCTACATATTACAAGCAATTCACTGTTTTTTAACCACCAATTCGCTTGTTACAAATATCAGTATTACATGTCTACTGGCATTTGATAAATAAAGGAAGTCATCCAAAAGATACTTCTTTTTTTTCACATACGGTGACGACTGGATCAACTTTGTGTGAGACAAAGCTGAAAATGTTGACAAACTCAGAATGCTGGTGAAATGAAAAAAAAGAAGGGATATGTTGATACATATTCAAACAAATGCAAAAAATAGCGGAACTTTCCATTTCTATAGGAAAAAAACCTCTATATAGCAAGAAGTTATCATTTTAAGTTTTTTATTTTATTATGTAACAAAGAGCCTGTGTCTTTGGTATTTTAATTAGCACTGCATCCATATTATTTACCTGTGTCTGGTTAAGCCTCGCTGCCATGCTGACTCAGACGCTTCTTAGACTTCAGTTCTTTCAGCCAAGCAGGAGAAGAGTTGGCACTGAATGACACAGAATCACAGTTCAGAATAGTGTCATAATTAAAGCACACAGCAATTTTTTTTTTTATTAATCCCTTCATTTGATACTATATCATATTTCTTTGAAGTGTGCTGTCATTCTCTGCTCTTACCCTTTGTCTGTGCCGCCTAAGGGTGGCAGCACCCGTGCAGCCCCTGCGAGATGAGCGGCAGAGCGAGGAGAGTGGGAGAGTTGTGAGGGTGACGGTGCCTTTTCCTCACGTTGACTTGCCTTCTCTTCCCTTCCCTTGTCTTCTTCTGTTTCCTCTCCTCCATCAGCTCCTCCCCCACCTGTTCTCCTTTTTAGTTGAGCCTTGGGGAGCAAGTCAAGTACACTTTACTTTGAAATGCTGCCCTTTTATATCAGTTATGTCAAAACCTGGAAACATATTATACTGAAGCTTACAATCAAGGCTGCAGGGTTCAGACCAGGGAACATGGGGACTCTTTGTGAGGCGGGAGGAGGAGAGCAGACTATCTTTGTTTTCGGCTGTTCCTCATCAGAATCTGACTCCCTTTGCGTGGAAGATGCTTTCTTTCCATCTAAAACCACATCCACAGAGTCAGAACTGGCAGTGAACCAACACTTTAACACTTGTATATGACCTGTTTACTATGAATTAAAAGAATCACTGAGCGTCAATGTAATAACCTGCTGAGTCACAAGCCCTCCAGTCCGGGCTTTCCCTCTGAGTCGACCCTGCACGGAGCGAGCGTGACGGGCGAGTTCGGATTCGCCTCTTACCAACATCTGCCTTGGATCTCTGTGCACTGGTGTCAAGCAGAGGAGTGGAGCTCTGTGCACAGACACAGACACACACTCACACACATAATCTAGCAGGCAATGACCAGATTACATCATACTATAATAATACAGATATAGGAGTGCATATTTTCCCAGGTGGGTATGCAAAATAAAAATCAAATTACATTTTAAAGTACATTTTAATATTTGTGGCAGATAATCTACAAATTAACTGTCACCCTTCATGAAGTTCAACGAAGAGTCACCCACCTCAGGGAAAGAAGCCAACGCTGGCTCACTCTGAAAATCAGTGCTATCAACATCTTGAGACGAGACTTCAGGAACTTGGTCAGGGATGTGCTTTGGGCTGAAGAGAGAGAAAGTTTTTTAGAATCACAGGGTGAGAAGAAAAGACACATTGTAATTGTTGAGATGCTTTCAGTTCAGTTTTTTTTCTCAGTAATTTTAGTCCATTTTCAACAAGTCTCACACTTCTGGGTTTGTGTGTTGTGCTCTAGTAACCACAAGGGGGCACAGGACGTTCAACTCTTGAAAAGCACTTGCCAGCTTATTTTGTGTGTTTTTTAATGTGCAGCTGCTGTTGATTTTGCTGTCACAGGATTTATGTTTCAAAAACAGAAATTGCATGTTTCTTTAGGTTGAATACTTAAATTTCTTCATTGCAAAGTCCAAATCACACACGGAAAAAAAAAAAAAAAAAAAATGGAAACAGAAAAATAACTTTGGTTTCAAAATCACCTTGGGTTATTTTTACATGCTCCACTGGCCTTCCAACCTGCACCTTGAGGCTACGTACTTAAACACTTCAAAGTCAGATAGCTATGGGGCTTCTATTTTTCAGGTGTACTCAGTTAGAATCAAATCACTTCAATGTGGAGCCACACCTTCAACACAAGACACAAAGATTGACACTTAAACCTGTTTGGTCCTGTCTGTCTCCATCAGTGTAGATGAAGGAAATGAAGCCACTTAAAAATACAACACGGATGTCAGCCTGTAGTCCACAGTAAGTGGGCTTTGTATTGTGTTATAATGCAATCCCTCTCCTACCTGTCACTGTCAGATGTCTGTTCACGGCCCCCATTCTGCTGGCCTGGCTCACTGTCTGTCAAAGCATCAGTGTCTTTGTCTTCTCCGTTTAAAAAGTAACTTTTAACCTGTGTCTGAGAGATAGAATTAAATTAAATTAAGCATGAACAAGAAAACATACAACAGAACCGGAGAAAACTTAAAGGAAGGTTTTGATAATCCGGATATAATTTGCTGAACTTTGATTCCACCTCTGTTTGGATCTACCGCTTCATCATATAAAACCAAATGATGTTAAGTGCTCCTCTTTGTTGTGTAAATTTGCATATTAGAACTTCACATTGTGGAACTGAGGCAGAGGAGAAAATGGACTGTGTGCTGAGCCAAGATCACTAACTACAGAGGGAGAGAGGACTAAGGACCAGCCAAGCATGCGTCTTTTAATGAGCCGGTCACAGAGGCTGGGCTGTCCTCAATAAACACCGCGAGCGTGTGTATGCACGTGCACACACTGGTGTACACACTGGCATACACACCTATATGCGTACACACAGACACACCAAACACACTCATGCTGTCACGCCCACATGCTGGAATGCATGGGTGCACATACACAGATACAGACACACACATGCAAACAAATTCCAAACAAAAGCAACTACTGTGCACCTCCTCACAAACATTCCTTTAAGCTCTCTTCACATTTTATCAACGGGCACATCCCAGTGTTGTGTAGTCTAATATTGTCACCTGGATACAGAACAAAAGTCGAGTAAACACCCCAGCCCTCCATATGATTTCATGCCCATTCCATCTCCTTCCTGAGTCCATTTATTACTCAGGACTCAAAGAGCAGCTTCATTTGCACAATGCCTGTTATCTGGCAACATCACAGCATGAATGAATAGGCTTCTAGTGATTTTCCTATAACCACAGACTGAGTTCAGATGCAGAGGAAAACAAAGTCTGGTCTAACAGAGACACAGTCTACAGAGGAACAATTCCACCACCATGCATGTCCTACCTTTATCGTGGAAGCAGCCTCTGCAGCGCATACTGTTTTTAACATAGTTGACTTAGATCATTTTTTCAGTACAGCATGTGACTTGATTACCTCCCTTTCATACTAAAATAACTCCTGTTTGGCAATGGTGCAAGTATGTAGTATGCAACAATGACTAATGAGACAATAGGCAAATGTATCTCAGACATGCAGATAAAAGTCAAACAGTCAATCCCTGTCCTATGTTTGAGAAAACACAGAGAAGATGCTGTGTTTGTATCCACCTGACAAATTTAAATCCATTATTTTTCCCCCTATTAGGTCTTTTTTGGCCTCTACCAACTCCTGATAAAAATATTTGGCTTTTTAAGCCACTAAATGCTCCACTATGTTCACCAGATGGTCACTAACTTTGTCTGTCTGTTATTTGGTGCTGGTTCAGGAGAGTAGAGTGGACTTATCAGAGCTTTTTCACCAAAGACATCTGCCTTCTGTGGCTGGAAACAAAGCTGAGGAATGTGAGACTGAAACAAAACAGTTAAGTTGCGTTAAACCAAAACAACAAGCAGAAAGATGCTAAGATCCTTTGCAAAGCTGAGGGGGCCTGTGATAAAGCCTGTTGGTTTGACACTATGAGTGGCACCATTCACATGACACATGGTCATTGTCAATATGAAAATATCTGTTCATGCAGCTTTAATCTACATGAGCATAGAAATTCAGAGATAGTACATACACACACTATGGAAACTCTACCGAGGCATACTGTTAGATTCCTTAAGTATTCTCCTACTAATAGCTGAACATTTTGGACAAAAACGTCCACACAAGTGAAGACACAAGTAACAGGTAAAACTTCACTGCGCTTGTAAGCTCAAGAAACCCGCGTATGTGTGAGAGGGCCAATACAGTATGTGCTCACGAGGGCGGAGGATGTACAAGTCAAGACAGAGTTGGCTTCATTATAGTTTACCTGCATCACATTTTTGTCACGGCCAATGGAATGTGTAAGGGAGCTTGTTTACGATGTAGAGGAGAGGACAACATCCGATAGACGCCACAAGCACAACTAACCGAGACTCTAATCCAGGATGATAGACGAGGACTGTCGACAAAACATCACCTCTAATAAAGGGAAGTGATGGATCATCTAATTAAGCGTGGACATAGCCTGCAGGTTATTGTCTCTCTTTTTATGCCCTTGTGTCTCCTGTGCATACACACCCATTCACACTCACATGCATGCTACAACCACAGTTAACACTTGAAAAATACTCAAATTCAGAGACAGATATGTCTTAATCCTATTCATTAAGATATAATATATTACGATGTAAAAATATAATATACTAAAATGCAAGATTATAATCCAATGTAATGGGCACTATTGCAGTGATATATAGTGGGATAAAAATATCAATTTCTACCATGAAAATGAGTTAAAACGTCAACAGCCATGACTAAGTGAAATTAAACATGAGCAGCATGAACAACAGGCAGATGCAGATATAGAGGGCACAGACATAAACAACCATACTTGGATAAACCTTGTCTAAGTGTGTCACACTTTGTTACAGCCCTCTGCTTTATCTCTGACACACAACATAGACAAAGAGGGAAAGGGCATGCATGTGCACTGATAAAACACTACATTCGGACTTTATCAGATAACTCTGTCCTTCCGGAAAACAGACCGCCTCTGTCTACTGCGCTCCCTCTTCACATTTGCATGTTCATCTGTTGACACATGGGTGTGGAGAAATATTGCACTCAGGAATTAGTCACATGGGTTACATGGAGCTTTGGACCAAATTGTAACAAGCGCCTAATCTTGTGTATGACTACTCTGTTCATTTAGCATTGTACCTAATGCCAATGAAAATGAGCAAGCCAAGCCTTTATAATAAAATGTGATTTTCATTTAACAATAGTGCAGAACATTGAAGAGCATTCATTGCCATCTACTGGGTTAATGTATCAGCTCTTACAGAGCGGGTTCCAGTGGCTCTCCTTTGTAGAGTTTGCCGACTTCTGGTGGAGAAGCGGCGCAGGGATCTCCTGCTACGTCTGGCGAAGCTACGAAGCGGTGTCATGGCTCTCTGAAACCTTCCTCCTCCATCTTCACGTTCTTCTTCTTCTTCTTGTTCTTCATTCTCTTCTCCCTCCTCCTGCTTCTCTTCTGCAGGGCCCCACACCAGCTCCAGAGCGTCTTGCAAGGAGCGCCGTACGCTGCCCACCCAGCCTGCCACCTGCAGCTGGGCGGCCGACAGTTTCCCTCCCAAATACTGCATGGTTGAAAAAAACTCACACAGCTGGTTGTCCTGGCACTAGGGTCACCATGGGAACTGGGTCAACAGAGAAATTGAAGTTCAGCCTTATTAGAGATAAAGGGATTTTGTGGGTGATTTAAAAAGCTGGATGTGTGATCTGGCTTTCAGTTGTCATTTTCAGCAAGCGGAAGGTAATTGCAGAAAAAGGCTTCTGACGTCATACAAAGCGAGATATAGTCCTTTCATCTGAGCAGGGTCCATCCACTCTTTCCATAATTTTATGGCTCAGGTCACACAAACTTCCTGGAACACAGTCTATTATTTGCTGTCAGTGAAGAAGTAAATAGTCTGACCGGCCATGTGTTTGCACTGTGACAACACTACTCCACTGCAGCATTCACAATGATGGATGTGACATCCTAAGCAGCAGCGTCCCAGAGAAAGACTTTCCCATCATCAAACACATTATCATCCATTTAAAAGACCCTGACACAAGTCTCAATCAAAAACTTAGTTTTCCTTCAACTCTGGAAGTAAAAAAAAAAAAAATAGGAGAGCAGCTTTCAGTCTTGCAGAAAACTATATTAAGTGTTACCTCTTCTCTCTTTTGCTGGGACTTGCTCTGCCACAGTCAAGCCTGTCTGTTTGTGTATTTACATCCCAGTTCACATCGCGACTCCATTTTCCATTCAGAAAAAAAAGGGAAAAGCAGCGTGGGAAATATCTGCCTCTCCAAACATCCAAAGCCAGGTACAGAGAGGTAGATCACCCCCTTTATCTCCTCTAGACCTGAGTGATTTCAGAGAACGTCACAACAAAGCGGAGGTCTGTGCTCGGATGTGGAAAATCCCGAGGGAATGAAGGTGCGGCAGGTTGGGCCAAGGTGTTTTCTGTACCTCCCTCCACTACTCTCTTCCCGTAGCTAAACGCAGGTAATGAAGGAACAGGTCTTTGTGAAAGGAGAGGGAAGAGAGGACAGCAGAAACAGGAAAACTTTTGGAAAATTCAGAGAAAGTTTTAGCAACAGAGAGCACTAGATAGATAACTGAAAGAATGGAAAGCAGACATGGGCACTATTGCACTTTCTTGTCTTCTTGTCTGTGCTTTAGCCCATCCTCTTTGTGTGTATGTGTGCCAGAAAGTGTGGGGGTGTGTGAGTGTGTGTGTGTAAGTGTGTGTGTATGTGTGCAGGCGGGTGATGGGCTCCCTCTCAAAACGGGGTGGAGAGATTGAGTAGAGAGACAGAGAAAAAGAGCAGATAGAGGCACCATGTATGGTCATTCTGACATGCTTCCCTGTTGGACAGATCCAAATGAGGACATGATGACTACATAGGACCTAGGCCCTACTCACTATAAGATTCATCCATCTGTCTGTCTGTCTGTCTGTCTTTTAGTCCGTAGCCTGAATGAGCGTGCACGGTCGGCTGCACAGCTTGTGTTTTCCCAGTAAACATTTTCCTCATTCTGCTCTGTCAAACTGAAATGTTTTTATCTGCCACACAACAGTGTCTCTGCGGTGGATGTTTTTTAACTGTATAAAAACAACTAAACCATACTGTTTAGTGTTATAGTGGCCATATTATAGCAGTGTAAGGTGCTCTACAGAAACTACAGAAACTTAAGGAAGGAAGCACAAGGAAGTGCAATTTTTAAGAGCAGCAGCACCACTCAGTGGTTAAAACAAGGACATGCCCACACAGCCATGACCAACAACGTTTCAACACAAATGGCCTTACGTCAGCTAAGTGCTTATGTGCTATGCCCCCCCCTTACAGGAGCACACTGGTTCTGTGGGTTATGGTTTGTTTGCTTAAGTGTGCACACAGCAAACAGAGACACAATATCGCAAAGACGCTCACATACATACATACACATAGTTTAGGGATCCAGAATTCATTGCATGTTCAAACAGGTGTGTAACCGATCTGTCTTGACTGGCAGGGCTACGTCAGCTGTTCATTTACTTTGCTGTACAACCACAACTCTTCACTCTGTTCACCTTGAATTATCTGTGTTGCCTTGTCTCTTTTCAAAATTAAGTGTGATGAAATTTCAGTCATTTTCAGACTGTTAATGTTGCTTTCTGTTCTTGTATATAATTTTTGTTTCATTGTTGTACTTGACATTGTACTTCAAATTGTGTTTACCCATTTGTAGGTTTGTTTTTAGGCTGCATTCTCCACTTCAGCCTCTTACTCTGTTTACCATTAACAAGGCTAACATCGCTAACATGGCTAAAATTTCCCAGTAACATTAGCTGACTATTACACTCCTAACTGATTTGGACCACTTCTTTCAAGCAGTGCAGTGATGACGTTTATTTGTGGATTCACCTAAGAGTTAGCTCAGACACGGTTTGTTGACTGCAGCCTCACTACAACTTCAATGGGTTTTCGAATGTGAACTGACTGAATCAGAAAATAAACTTTGTGTTAGAAACCTCCTTATGCTATTCAAGTGTAGAGTTGTATCATATGAGATAATATGCACAAAAATAAACAATCAATTTTACATCACAAATGTAATTGGAACTAAAAGAAGTTTAATACTTGATTAATTTGTAAGATAAAAGACACAACATATTAATTCATTCATTCATTTATTTGTTAATGAGCTTTGCTAATTAATTAGCTTTACAAGTCCTGGTAGGTGGCCTGTGTTACCTTTGGACAGAGCCAGATTAGTTTCCAGTATTTACTCACTTCTTTTACTTACCCATAGCTGCTGGAGATAACCCATCCAAGATGCCCATGTGAAATAATTATAATAATAATCCATCCCTTCTATATTTTCTTCTTATATTTTACTACCTCGGCTTGTCTTTTTCCGCAGTTTGACGCACAAACAAGAACAGAAATGAAAGTAGCAGTAGAGAATTGTGGGAGGGCTGCAGATAAAGACATAACTTCACTTTCACTTTCTGATCACCAGAACCACCCTCTTAACATAATATATACCACTCGACATAGAGTTCATACAGCTTGATGTACTGTTGCAGATGCCTGGAAAATTCAGAAAATGGATTAGGAACTGAGAATGAAGGGACTTTAAATATGGGAATGAATCCTGCACTTGCACAAAACTGTACATGTACACTGTGTTCAGACCCCTTCAATTTTTTCACATTGTGTTATGTTGCGGCCTTAAGCTAAAAGAAGAAGAGAAGGGCTTCACTTATTTATTTTGGCATTTGGCTTAAAAAAGTGTGAAAAAATTGAAGGGGTCTGAACACTTTACAAATACACTGTATATGAAAGAGGACATGGAAGAGAAATCCACTCTTACTCTCTTTCCTCAACCCTGACATATCATCTTCAGGGGAGTACTACATGAGACCCATGCACTCTCACTGCTGTTTTTTTAATCGTCACACCTCAGAAGTCACTTATTTTACTCTGATGTTTTTTTATTTTGTAAGAAATAAGCTGTCGCTGTCAGCAAGGCCAGATAATACTACTGACACATACACACATACACATATATTTGGTTTTCAGGCCATGCTTGTTTCATTAATCAGTGTCACACCCACACACACACACAAACACAAACACACACACACACACACACACACACACACACACACACACACACACACACACACACACACACACAGAACATGCTCTTCCACTGAATCTTAATCAGGCCAAAGCAAGTATGACAAGATATTTTTCCTTGTGCTTGTACTTGTGCAACAGGAATGGCGATCTGTCGGTGCAGGTGAGTTGTGTGTGTGTGTGTGTGCGTGTGCGTGTGTGTGTGCGTGTGCGTGTGTGTGGTTGCCTGGCTGATATGATTCAATGGTGAAATAATCACATTTACGTGTGCACTCCTGTCTCTGTTCTATCAACCTCACCCTTTTGGTGTCATTCAAGAATCTTTCATGCTGGTGTCCTCAACAACAAAGTGGTTTACCAATCAAGCTGCATTCCAAGCGAATTCATTTTGTACTTACCTCCTCTTTCTCCTCGTCTTCCGCTTCGTCCACCTCTTCCTCCCTCTCCATCTCCTCTTCCTCTTCCTCCACCTCTGTGGAGATCAGCTGTCCCTCCTCTGGCCTCTTCTCCTCCTCCTCCTCCTCCTCCTCCTCCTCCTCTGGACTCTCCGCAGCTGGTGTAGGCTCTGGGCGGTCTGGTACTTTGTTTTCCTGAGACCATACATTCAGGGGCACCAGCAACTCCACAGGACTGGTTGCCCAGCTCTGCACGAGCGGACTGGTTTCTGCTTTAGCCTTTGAGCCCCATCTCTTTGGTTTGACTGAAAAATCATCAAAATCCACGTCGATCAGAGACTTTCTGCCGACGGAGAAGTCATCGTAAGCAACTTCTATTTGACTCTCTTTGGGCTCATACGTTTTTGCTGAGAGGGAATGTGGTGTTTGAGACTTCTGTGGCGCATCTTCAGAGTCAAAGCTGATCAAATTTGACTCAACCTTGTCCCCTGTGCTCTCTCGTTCCCTGTTGGTCAACTCAAGTTCTTTCCTTTCTCTCTCTTCGTCCATTCTTAGCTTATCTTCCATTTCTTTTGCTTGCTTTCTTTCAAATTCTTCTTGCATTTTTCTCTCCAGCTCCTCCACTCTTTCTTTTTCTATCTGTCTCTTCCTTTCCTCATGTTCACTAATCAATCTCTCCTCCTCCTCTCTCAGCCTCTGTCTTTCTCTTTCCTCTCTCAGTCTCTCCTCTTTCATCTCCTCCTCCTTCACTCTCTCTTCTTCTCTCTCCTTCTGATCTTGCTTTAGTCTCTCCTCCTTCTGCTTCGCCCTCTCTCTCTCCTCCTCTCTCTGTTTTTCTATTTGCCTTAGTCTCTCCATCTCTTCCTCTTTCTCTTTCTGCATTTCAAGCTCCCTTCTTATCCTCTCCTCCTGTCTCTGCCTTTCCTTCATCCTCTCTTCTGCTTCCAGCCTCCTTTGCTTCTCCCTCTCTCTTTCCTCAGCCTCATCTCTTAATCTTTCTTTCTCCCTCTCCTCTTGTTTGAGTCTTTCCTCTTTCTGCCTTGCCCTCTCTTCGTCCTCCTCTTTCTGTCTCTGCCACATCAACTCCAACTCCTTTTCTCTCTCTCTTTTTTCTTCCTCTGCTCTCAAACTGTCTGTCTGTTTCACCCACTCTCTTTCCCACTCCTCCTCTCTTTGTTTCTCTTTAGTCATTTCCTCCTCTCTCAGTTTCCCTTCAAATCTGTGTTCCTCGTGTTCATTAATCAAACTCTCCTCCTCTCTCAGCCTCTGTCTTTTTCTTTCTTCTCTCAGTCTCTCCTCTTTCATCTCCTCCTCTTCTTCTCTCTCCTTCAGATCTCGCTTTAGTCTCTCCTCTTTCTGCTTCGCCCTCTCTCTTTCCTCCTCTCTCTGTCTCTGCCACATCACCTCCATCTGTCTTTCTCTTTCCATCTCTTCTTCTCTGAGCCTTTCCCTTTCCCTTTCCTCTTCTTTTAACCTTTCTCTCTCCCATTCTTCCTTCCGATGTCTCTCCATTTCCTCCTCCTCCAACCTCTCTCTTTCCCTTTCCTCCTCTCTCCGTTTCTCCTCTTCCCTGATCCTAAGCTCTTCCCTCTGCCTGGCCTTTTCTTTCTCCCTTTCTTCCTCTTCTCGTTTACGCTCCTCTTCTAACTTAAGTCTTGCCTGTTCGCTCTCCTCTGCTCTCCGTATTTGTTCAAATTCTAAATGTTTCAGTCGTTCTTCTTCTTGCTTTTGGATCTCATTGTCCTTCTGCTTAAGAATTCCTATTCGCTGGTAGACGGGCAAAGAAACAGAGGTGTCCTTCTCAGCTTTATCCTCAGGTGTCTCTTCTTCCTCTTCTTCTTCCTCTGAGCTGGATTCGGATGCTGAGCCCAGGATCACTGGAGGCCCACCATCATCTCTCTCCACGATACCAAAGCGAACAGAGCGACGTTTCACATTGTCTCTCTTTAGAGCTCTTTCACTTGAAGCTGAGTCTCCCTCATCGCTGGCAGTTTGGGTTGTAGATGGGTTGCGACTGCGTGGTGGGACCTCAACCTCTGTTGATTTGTTTTGCTCGTCCTCTCCCTCTGTTGAGCTATTCAAAGACTCCTTTTCTGTGGGAACATCTCTGGATGTTTCCACTGGGGACTCTGAGGGCACTTCAGCTGGGGAGACCTTTGAACGTGGATCCACAGCCTGTGTAGACGACGTCCTGGTCGCAGGAGGTTCCACATGTGGCGTTTTGGGTGTTTTCTCTGCTGCTGGAGCAGTCACAGGCTCAAAGCTGTAGAAGAATAACAATCATAGTCAATCTATATGAAAAATCTGAGTTTAAGGATCTTGCTAGCTTTAATAGATGTTTCCACTAATAAAGGGCTTAGTCATGTAATTTAAACACAAACACAAAGGATCATATGTCACAATAAAGGATTATTTCAACACCTACAGAAATATGCTCATTAAATTCTGCTCTAAGAATTAGAAAGAAAGACCCATGTCTGTATGTTAAATATGAAGCTACAGCCAGCAGGCTGTTGAACTGTTCCTAAAAATGACCGGTTTGCCCAGATGAGAAAAAACAAACAAACAAACAAAAAAAACACACATTCTTACTCTAACAACTAGCCATTCTGATTGTTTTAGTTTTATTTTCCAGGTCTTGTGAAATTAAAGTGTAACATCTCAGCCTGTACCGCACCATCAGAGATAGATCTCTTTTGTTTTGGTCAGAGCATTCAAATTAGCATTTAAAAAAATTCAAGAGGAGCTTCTCTAAACAGTGTCCCTGTCACTCTGGATGATCCACAGAATGTGCTGTCGACAGTTTTCATAGGATTTATTTCTTGAGTAGAAAGAGCTTCCAGTAAAAACTGTTGTTGCTGTTATAGTTTTTAAATGTAGATTTTCAATGCTGGGAGCAACACAAACAAAATTCTATTTACATGTATTGTAGTTGGAGCAACAGCAAAAGTCTCATAGATGGATATCTGAAAAACTTGAAATCATCAAGGACGTATTCAGATCCTTTACTTAAGTCAGAGCAGTAACACTGCAATATGAACATATTGCATTGCACTGAAAAGATTATTTAAGAAAAAGTAAGTAAGCATTGTTAGATAAATGTACTTACATATGAAAAGAAAGACAAAGAGGCAATATCTCACATTTAAGAAGTGGGAAACATCCCGTTTGGCATTTTTGTTTGAAAACATTTAATGATCAATCATCAAAATAGTTGCCGATTAATTTCCTGTTGTTCGACTAATCAGTGAATTGACAACTCGTTGCAGCTCTACAAATTTTAATTACTGGGTGGTTTCAACTATAACAATGCAACTCATTTATGTGTTATTTATAAACTCATAATACACCTTGAATGGAAAATCTTAATCTGTAAAATAATGAGTAACTAAAGCTGTCAAATAAATGTCATAGAGTAAAAAGTACAAAGTCTCCCTCTGAAATGTTAGTTTAGTAGGTAGTAATATAGTATAATCTAGCAAGAAATGGAAATTAGTTACTTAGTTACATTCCACCACTGCTTGAAATGTAAAAATAAAATTACATGCATGACTAGATACTTGGGGTGATTGAAAAAATAGGTGAACTGACTCTTTAGGTGTCAGTTCAGGCCAGGTCATGTTGTAGGTTGGGCATCTAATCTAAAAATTCACAATCAGAGGTGGCCAGGTTCACATTCTTATCTGAACTTATTTATTTGAAGACTTAAATCAGGCCACAGCTTGATATTGCAAGCAACGTTATTCATTTACCACACCCTTATTACTGTCCGCACACAGAACACACATTAAACAAGAAGGAAAGGAAAGCAGTGCTGGTGACACTCACTCAATCTTTCCTGCCTCAACAGTTCTAGACTTGCGCCGCCCTCTCTCCAAGGGAAGCAAACGATGACAACAACATAAAGGAAGCTCCCATCTGCACTGTGGTCTAAATAATATCTAAATATTATACTTCACCTCTGAAAAATAAGAAGAAATTGAGGCTCACATGAAGCACCAACTGTACCCAGAAAGAAAATGTTACCATTGGCCATTAATAGCCAGTCATAATATGTGCCACTAACCATAAAATAAACTTCTGGCATGGTTGCACTTTGAAGAGAATTTTCTTTTCCTTTTATTCATGTCTGGTCATGTCACCAAACACAGACAGCACAGATGGGAAGAAGCTCACTCACCTCCTAGTGCGAGGTCGGGGTACAACCTGAGGCTTCTTCTCAGTCTTTGGACCCTCAGAACTTGTTTCCGTCGCCCAGTGTTTAATTCGCTCCTTTACACCTCCTGTATTATTTATAATCTCTGGTTCCTCTTTCTTCGTCATGACCTCTGGCCTCAACGAGGAGTCGAACAGAAGACTGATTCTGCGTTTTATGCTTCCCCCTCCGCTATAATCCTCCTTCAGTCGTCCTTCATCACTCTCTCTGTTGGACGGCTGTGTTGTTGTCTGGCTCTGCTCTGGATCGGAGGACACTGGTTTGTTTGAATCATCTTTGGTTTTGCTTGTAGATGCTGTTATGGTGGGCTGGGGAGGCAGGGATAGACCACCCGACTCAAACTTTGCGGTGAGCTTGGTGGGCAGACCCCTCCTGGTGCCGGCCCGTCGATATGGTGGATTGGCTGTAGAAGAACTGTCACTCCCTGATTCTTCAGGCTTTTGTATGATTGAAGTCTGTGTTTCATCTTCTTTCTCTTTTCCGTCTTTCTGTTTTGACTTAGTTACAAAATCTGTGGACGCTTTGTGGTTTGTTTGGATGACATCGTCTTTCTGGACTGGCTCGGATTTGGGCGGAGCGGTTTGTGAGGCAGGATCAGATTTTCCTGGAGCTACACTTGAATCAAGGGTCTCTTCTTCATGCGGACTTGCTTTACTTTCCTTGGTAGTTTTTGGTTTATCTTTGGTGTGCACACTTACAGCGCTGGGTTTGGAATCAGAGGTGGTGGTTTGTTGAGGAGGTTTCTGTGCATGAGCGGTCAAAGTCGGTTTTGGGACACCTGTGGCTTCAGATTTTCCAGTCTGGTTTGTTGCTGACTTAACTGTTGTGGTGACCGTCTTTGGAGCATGGATGGAGCGAATAGTGGTGTTCTTCTGCAGGGAGAAGGGCTTGGGAGTGAGCCGAGGTTTGGGAGCCAGAGCCGGCTTTGGTTTTGAGGCGCCTTCAGTCTGGGAAGTCTCAATGGAGCTCTCCATAACTGAGTCGCTGAAAGAGGAGAGGAGGTGTTTTACATACAGCAAATGACAAATTTACATTAAAAAAACATTACCACTCTCAGCCGATCCATAGATATGTTGTTACAAAGACAACTGGACAAGTCTGGTCAGAAAACACATTACCTCTGCAGGAGCAATGAGAAACTAATCAGTTACACTGAACACAAAACAGAAACCATGATTTTTTTTAATTTGCTTAATTAGTTTCCTTCTTCAGTTTAGTTTTTAATAACAGATATGTGTTGACAATTAATGCACTATTGTTTTACAGAATTAAACCACTTAAACAACCCGACCAGTTTCTCCCTCCTACTCAAGATGTGATCCTTCACTCTCGCTTTTCTTCAGCCTGTAGTGTAGTGTATGTTGTAAGTAGCCTCTGTGGGGACTCTTGTGGAAGTCCAAAACTTCACTGAACTCAACATAAATATATATATATATATATATATATATATATATAATATGTACATACAACACACCATGCTCAATTATGAAGGACGAGGTATTTCTTTAAACCAACGAGCAACAGAGATTATGTTTTATTATGTCAAAAATATTATATCAATACCAAACTGATAATTGCATACTTCATAATGCACCCAACGAGTAAACAGTTGTAGTCACATAATTATTTATAAGGCTGATTATCTCTTTATATTATAGATGAATCTGTTAGTTATTTAACTGACTGATTGCTTGGTCCATAAAAGGTCAGAAAAGGGTAAAAAATACACCCATCATATTTTCTCAAATCTCAAATTGACACATTCAGTCTTGTTTTCTCCAATCATGATTCTAAAACCCAAAGATATCTGGTTTAATATCAATCAACTATTCACATTTGAGCTGGAACCTGTGAATGAATTAAATGTTTTATCAGTTATTCGAATAGTTTCAGATTAATTTACTGTCGCCTGATTTACTTATTAAATGACTAATTATTTCAGTTCTAATTGTTTGATACAACTCAAATCTCTTCAGTATACATTGATAATATATTGTGCATACAAATTGTGATTAGAAAGCAAATTTATATCCTGACAAATAGAAAAGTACTGCTAAATAATACAGGTAGAAAGTCTGACATTACACTATATCACTTTGATAGTGGAAATTAAACAGTTTTGTCATCTTTTAACCACACTCAAGATGGAAAACTACTAAACAGACAGGAGACATGCTGTCAGAGATGAAGCAGAACTGATGAGTCATCACACACATCTCCAACATTATCTGCAGCAATGACACAGTCACATTAGATCTCCAGTTGAACTGAAACTACTGACAGATGACCAAGTTGCAACCCTCTGAGGACTATCACGTGAGCATTTTGGTCAGCAGCGCTAATAACTCACTAAAGAAGGGCTAAATGTGCACACCGTGTGAAAAAGATAACAGTAATGCGTCTATATCTGTTACACTCACAAGCATGTCATCTGGTTTGACCTGTAAGACTTTTGCACAAACCGGTAACTCCACACCCGACAATTTAAAGCTGCAACACTCAACGTGTCAAGAGCAAGTGTCAAGAGCAATATGCTCAATGTGTCACTTTCACATGATCAGTCTACAGCTGGTGTGCATCAATTGTTTTGATGCACAGTCAGAGTGTGCAGTAAGGCAATTCTGGCATGTAATGTGTGTTGTTGTTGTTGTTGTTGTTACCTTTTTTTGCCGCATTGCTCAAACACACAACACCTCTGGGTGTGCATGATATTGTGTAATGGGATCAGATTGGGCTCCTAAAGCTGTGCAACACCACCCATTGAGTTTAAATAATGCACCCTTTTTTTGCTTTGGCCTCTTCTTTTCCTTACAGCTAAATTCCTAATAAAAATAAACACTGTCTCGCAGATAAAGCTTCAGCTGATAGATGATTCCTGTTGCTTATTTTTAGGCCACATTCATGCACTACAGGACCCTGCAGCAGCACTTAGCTTGCAGGAGTTTCTTTATCTTTGTTTGCCTTTAGAGCCTGTTACCCTGCCAAGGCTATCGTTACACTCGGTACCTTTCGTTTTGATGTGTACCATATTATTCATTTACTCCACTCTGTGATACTGTAACCTCTTATCAAACACCGCGATGTCAGGATTTGTAGCATACATTAAATGGTGAAATGAACGTTATATCAATGCATGTGTTTCATTACAGGATGTTAATAAGTAACTAATAAACGCGTCAACAGTGAACTCCCAGTCGTTGAACCAGCTGTGTGTCCTCTGAGACTGGACAAAGAAAACTGAGATAAATGAACGTAACTTTATGTTTAATTCAAGCTAGCTTGTAGTCTCGTGAGCGAAACTGTGTCTTTTGTAAGGAGACATGTATGTGGATACTCATATAACAAAATATATACGTTACACGTAAAAAGAAAACATATATCCTAAAAAAATGTGCACCTGCTCTAAAAATCAGCATAATGAACTTTCCCACCGGTTAAGATATTTACATTACGCTAGCAGTGTAAAAGTTTAGTTTTTTTTTTCTTTTACCTTTTGTCTTCACGCAGTCATAGAGGTTGAGGAAGGAAGGAAGCGGGAAGAAGTTAAAAAAAGAAATGTTTCTCACTTATCTGCGACTGTCTCGCCTGCCGGACTATTGTCAGAGTGGTTTTGTTTTTTTTCCGAGTCATTCAAACTAACAAGACGTCAGGCTGAAGCTGCTCCTACACCCAGCAGACACTCCCTCCCTCTGCCCGCCCGCTGCCTCAGGTCTGGCCCACGATGCTCCGGGGTCAAGTCACACAATGAAACAGGAAGTGTGGTGTATTCACTTCAAAATAAAATCGCAATAATTAAGTGCTCAGCAAATGCACGTGGCATTAATACGTCCTTTCTAAAGCAATGTTTAGATGTATTTTTTAATCACCAAACAAGACCATCACCGAGGAAAGGTTGTCTCTATTGCGCGTCACAGAGTCAAATCTGTGCTGCATTATCAGCCAAAAGATTTGCTTCAAGTCACAAACAGCAAGTGGATTCATTTTAGGCAGAGAAGGGGGGCTTGTATTCAGGCCACAGCTGGCCCAATAAGTAAACTAAAGAGCTGATTCCTAAGAGGAACACCCAAATATTCAGTTTCTGACAACTGCAATCTAAGCACCTGCAGTGTCTCCCATTATCAGTTAATATTAGTAAAGAAAATATGATGAAAGGTGAAGTTAGTTAGTATAATTACAATTAAGTTACCTTACTTTACCGTGAATTTTTTTGCACATTTCACAACAAAAGTGCTGGTTGTGGAGGGGAAATAATATGTGTACCTTGAATGCTTTCCATCCTGCTTGCTTTGTCAATCCATCACAGTGTTCAGTTCAACTCTTGTAACAAGTGTAACCTTAATTATTGTGCACATTTGGATTATTTTAATCATAAATTTACCATATGAATTTGCATTGTATATTAAGTGGTGCAATATAATTTGAGTTTATTATATTTTTAATTAATATCACTTCATTGAGTTTAATATATAATTTCATTATCAGTTGCAATACTTATTATTATTACTTATTATTTCATATATATGTGTTACATTTAAGTTGGTTATTTGCAACCCCTTTAGCGTGGGGTTCTCACCTGCCATTGTTGCAGGGGGACAGGTGTGAATGTGACAATCTATCGGATGCATATGTCATGCTTAGAGAGCAGAATAAAGTTGTGTCAACTGTCCTGCCATGTTGGTGGCGATTATAGAAGACAGTTCAAGAAAATTGTAGCTTGCTTGTCACCAACACCTCAGAGAGCCCTGGAGAACATTACCGACCAAGAAATAACGGTTACACAATCATGAAAATGGTCATGTCTGGTGCCCAAAACATAGGACTACAACCATAGACTGTATGTAAAAAGACTACAACTGCAAGTTTATGGCAGTCCAAGGTGAGAAATAACTTGGAAAAGCTGGGTCAATCTATAATGCTTGTACATAGCCAAGAAAATACATATTTAGCTCAGGGAATGGACTGAAAATTAAATGAAAGCTGAACGTCACATTTGGAAAGTGTTACAGTAGGCTCTTTTCTTTTGAAAATTCGGACCGGAAGTGTTCTGTAAATTCATTGTAACTTGACGGCAGTACGCTGTTCAATTGACCGGATAAACAGGTTCTAACTGTGGCGAAAAGCTACTTTAGTGAAAAGGAATTGGATCCATGCGGCTCTCCCTGCTCTATGGAAAGTGTTGAGGCTACCCGGGCCATCTTCACAGCAGGAAGTGCCCATCAGGTCTCACACAGTAAACTCTCATTTGAATAACACCTGGGCATTTACTGCGTTCATTTGCGTTGCCCGCGTTTTAGAGCAGGAAACAACACACCAGTAAAATGATCACTGACGTTCAACAAATCTGAGAAAAGGATTTCTTAGATTAATCACCTGTCTGTGTGTGTGTGTGTGTGTGTGTGTGTGTGTGTGTGTGTGTGTGTGTGTGTGTGTGTGTGTGTGTGCGCGTGTATGGTTTGGGTTGACTTGGAAAGGGTTTGAATTATCTTTCATAAATTCATACAACATACCGTAGTCTATAGCGAAACTGGAAATTGAAAAGCACAGTAAATGACTTTAGGACATTATCAGTAATAGTGAGTAGCCTATCAAACCACCAAATATTAGACTCATCTCAATCCTTTACAACAGTATAGCATGTATTAATGCAATACACAATAAAATGCCAGGCAGAGGTAATTTTTTCCGTAATGAGTACTTTTCTATTTTGCTGATGATACTTTTGTGCCATTACTTGCGGCAGGTCAACAACTTCTACTACTAACAGTGTTTTTCAGAGCTGAGTGAAGGAGTTGTGTCCGTCGCCCCCTGGTGGACGTTTCGGTGAACCTCTTCACACTCTCCTCTAGCTCACCGGACGAGTTGTCATGGCAACTGTACAGCATGTGTTAACAAAAACAAGAGCTTGACCGTTCACCGACACCTCTCTCGACACTCGACATCTACGACGCCATCTTCTTCTTCTAGCTTTTATCAGAGGGGGAGACAGCAGTTACTCCTTCGAGCAGAGAGGAGCCGAGGAGAGTCAAAGATGAGCGGAGCCAAAGCCCGCAGCGACGCGCCTGTTGCTGAAAACGTCTCCAGCGGCGGGCACAGCACTGCGGCTCCTCCGCGGGACCGCAAGCCTGGTGGAGGGGTTCTAAAGAGGCTCAAGTCCCGGAGGAGCCAGGTGGACAGTAGGCCCGTCACGGAGGAAGACCTGCGGAAACAGAGTGGACACATCACGCCGGAGGATGTGTTGGGACTGCGGGTGGCAACGCGAGGTTTGAGTCTCTCTGTTACCGCTTGTGTGTCGGTTAACGTGGACCCACCGATGCTTAATGTGCTGCCTGAACATATCTGTGACCGAGTCTCTACAAGGCTACAAGCTACAGAATGCATTGAATTTACACATGACATAACACGAGAGTTGCACTGGCATACGTGCCTGTCATTTAAAAATGGAGAGAAGGCTAATATGGTATTATATTACATCTGTTATATTTATGCAAGATAATACATACCTTACACCACAAACAAATAGGAGGTCATTAATCTTTAACTCATAGAAAAAACATTTGTTTCTATGTTGAAGCAGCTCAGTGGACACTGGGATTTAATGATGGGGACGTTTGTGATACTAAATTTTCTCTGTTGTGTCACTTTAATTGAACTAAGATATTATAACTTCAAACTCTTCAAAATTGTCAGATACAAATGACCTCACAGATCACTGCTATGGCATCACAGTCAGGATTGGCCAAGAAGACCCTCTGCATGGTCTTAATGAAATAAAAATATACTGTTTATAGCACTGTAGATTCTCATCAGGTTGGTAGCCCACATTTACAGCTGTTGAGGCATCACATGAAATAAGAAAGGAAATAAAAGGGAATTACATTCAATGCTCAATTTCCTCCCTATGAGAGCCGCTGTTAAATGTAATTGTTAAATTATGCAGACATGATCAGTGTTTTTAATTTCTCTGTCGTTTCCAATATTTTCCATTATTCTTCATTATTGCAATATATTCTCGTTGGCTTCATGTTTTCTGTTTTCCTGTATAACTCACAGTAGCCCCACAGAGATCATTAAAAGCTTTGTGTTATTTTATGGTTGCAGAGTTGTGTGTGCTGGATGTACAAGCAAAACTATGTCAACAAGTGTCAGCAAAGTCAAGCACAGTGTTTTGCATATAACCTTTGTGCATGTCAGAGCAGCCTGTTTGTGTTTTAACAGGATACATATTAACTACGTTGGCTTGAAAAGCATTTCAATGTTTATAACCTCTGTCCTCTGCCTGTCGTTGTTGCAGGGTATCTCTGTAAACCAGAGGACAATATTTATAACATTGACTTTGTGCGCTTTAAGATCAGAGACCTGGAGACCAGCACTGTCCTATTTGAGATTGCTAAACCCCCACATACAGGTACTGTATATTAGCCCACTCTATGTATTGTGTTATTTTAGTGTTCGTTCTGTAATGCTCATGCATCTTGTTGACTGTAAAATGACTGTATTGACCCAATGGCTTGCTTACTTCCTGCTTGTTCTTGTTATTAGCCTGAAATGAATAACATTTTTACCAGGTCCAGAAACATTCATTGCTGGTTATTTTGATCAGAAATAGTTTGGCTGGTTTGTTGGTTTGTTGTGGCTCTAGAGGATGATGAGGAGAACAGAGAGGCAGATGCCAGCGCAGGCCGATTTGTACGTTACCAGTTCACCCCAGCCTTCCTCCGACTGAGGACCGTGGGAGCTACGTGAGTGACTCACACATCACCAACACACAGCAATGAAAAACACACTTACCTGTTCCATAAACAAACAAAGAAGACAATTGCAGCCTTGTTTTTTATCAGCTACGCACACTCACACACATATTTTACTTGTGCACTGACTGTAATAACATGATAATTACACAAGAGCAGGCTTGCTGTTATAATGTCTCCCTTCTCTCCCTGTAACTCAATCAGGGTGGAATTCACCGTTGGAAACCGGCCTTTAAACAACTTCCGCATGATTGAGAGGCACTACTTCCGTGATCACCTGCTGAAGAGCTTTGACTTTGACTTTGGCTTCTGTATCCCAAACAGCCGTAACACCTGTGAGCACATCTACGAGTTCCCTCAGCTGTCTGAGAGCCTGGGTGAGTCCCGTTTTCCATGACTCTTACAAGTAAAACTTGAAATTTCCTTGAATTTGCTTATTCTGAAAATGATATAATATGACAATATCGAAGTATATTGTATGCTATGTGCTACATTGTCAAGTTGAAGAGATCTAGATATCTAGGAGATGCCAGATGTTTTTGTTTTTTTTTTTATCTGTAATTTGTGTATTATGGAAATTCCAGAAGAACAGATCAGCAGTTAATACTAATTGATATTTCCATAAAGGGGATCTTTTTCTCCCTTTTCATGTGTCACAGTGGAGCACAATAGTAAACATTAGGTTACATTTTAACAATCGTTTCAGTGGTGAGCAAATCGTTTTGTGGTGAATCTTCAGATACTGTTGGGTTATGCATCTCACAGTAGCAATAAAATCTTTAGTAGCTTGTGCTACACACATGACATTCACAAATCCCTTCAACCTATTATACTCTGTGTTTAAGCTGTGTGTCAGATAGGTCTATCCAAAATAATAATTCCTGTATTGTGAATGTATGCATTTTCTTGATCCTCATTTATGGTTTAAGCTTTATGGGACCTTATGTCATCCCAGTGATATCTGTGTGTCTGTCTGTGGGCAGATATATTCTTATGAAACAATAACTCATGAACAATACATGACACTTAACCACTGGTTCTCTCTGTAAAGTAGAAGATCTTACTGATTTTTGAGCCCCTTGCTGTGTAAACATGCATATTAATGAGAGTCAGCAGTCTCATTTATCAGCATTTTTATGATTGTCTGAGTGCTGATCATGCAGTTGCAGGTCTATGAGGTAGGTGTGTTGGGAATCCTTCCAGCATGCACTGGGGTAATAGATTCTTGGACAGAAGTCTCATTTTATGTGTGTTCCTGCAGTGTTAATGGTGCCATTTCTTCTACATGGTGCTTCAACTGTTTCCACACTTTCAACGCTGTTAAACTTCAGATATTACCAGCGAATCTGGTTAGACTATGAGTGACGTTTTTCAGCGGCTTTGGCAGTGTTCAAATGACAAATTTCCATGTTAATTTCAAATTAAATGCTGTATGTTCTGGCTTTATTTGTCTTTCAATACTCACTGTTGCTCACAATATCGCTCACAATTAGGTTTTTTTGTGTACAAACATGTATATGTACGAGTTTATGTAATTTAATTGTGGTGATTACATCAGCATATCTTAATGATTTGTCAATAACCTTCATGTTCTCATCTAAAAATTATCATTATATCAAAATTCTTTGATTATGTACTTAAGAAAGCGAGCCATTTGTATCTGAAATTCAGTGGATGTAAAACATCTTTGTCATTATCCAGCTACGTGTCAATAAGCCTGCACGTTAGCAGGTTTGGGCTTAAAGTCTTGTTTCACTGACAATAAGTTTAGATTAATTTTAAACCAGCTTCAAAGAACCAAAAAAAATCCCTGAAAAAAGCCCTGGAGTCAAAGTTATCCAAATCATGAAGGTATTATCATCCTGGCAGTTGGAGTACTTTTATTATTGGTGCGACATGTGACAGTCAGAAAGTACTCCTCTGCTGTGGCACACAAAGCACAAAGAGGGAAATTTGTAATAAAAAGCCTGAAACTTTAAAGGCTACCAAGTTAATTTGGCTAACTCAGACTACCCTCTGCAAATCTTTTGCAGTGTAGTTGCATAGTGTGAATCGCATCATGGCCAGTATGGAGAAGAGGAATGATTACAGTCACCACTAACTCTTTCGATGCGTTCAATGTGCATATTTCAAGTGCTTAATCAATAATACTGACCCATTCATTTCAGGTGTTGTGTAGCTTTCATAGATTCATCGATTCTAAATGCGTGGACACAAAAAAAAAAGCTTTTGTTGTAATGAGGAAAATATTGAGCCGTAGGAAAATTAGGGATGCAGCCTTTGTCAGTTACCAGCTCAATAAGTATTTTTTAAAAGAAAGATCAAAACTTATTTCTTCATTTTAGCCTTTAACTAGCTTTGAAATTTGCTTTGCTGCTGAGCAGTGCATTAATGTTTGCACATTTTGCATTAATGTTTTTAATGTTTTTCATTTTAGATCAATGCTTTTAACATGTTTTTATGCTCATTTTATGTCTTTTCATGTGAAGCACTTGGTGCATGTCATTTCTTTGTTGGAAAGAATTTTGTGCTACATTTCTTGTATGAAAAGTGCTATACAAATAAAGTTTATTATTAATTACTGACTTGCATATGTTGTCTGTTTTGCAGTCCGTCAGATGGTGGAGCGTCCTTATGAGACCCGGTCAGACAGCTTCTACTTCGTCGAGAACAGACTGGTCATGCACAACAAGGCAGACTATGCTTATAATGGAGGACAGTGACAGGGAGTAACTGCCTGCTAGCATGCAAACACAAGCACAAACATGTGCATGCACACACATGTACTCACATTTATAGCTATACATATACACACATGCATCGACATGGCTAAACATACATACAGTTGATTCACTCACAGCTACAGACACGGTTGAGTTACCTATTGTGTTTGTAAAGATGAATTGCCATTCATTGCTGACATTTTCAGGGGATTTATTTGATATTGCAGTAGGTCAATATCACTCTGTACTCTGACATCTAAACAGGAAGCTGCTGTTAGATAGAGGTTCAAACGGGTTAATTTATCTGTTTTTAATTATGGACAGATTGCTTTAAAACCAAAGAGGACTCATCATTCTAGTGGCCATGTGATGTTTGTCTCAAACAGACCAAATGGTTATTAGATAGATGGTTAGTCTCCTCTTAGCAATTTTAAAAGTGTCCTACCACCCACTCAAAGCACAGGCACACATTTGCACACACACACTCAATCCCCAAGTGACACACATAGTGTTTACGCAGTGTTTGTCAGAAGCAGCTGTTCTCAGAGCTGCCGCCTCCACAATCCACTCCAGACAATATCGGGGGAGAAAGAGAGAAGCCATCCACAAAAACACTCCTGTCAAACACACATGGTCACTCCTGTGATCCTCTCCCCACCTCCCTCTCCTCTTTCACTTTCATACGCACATAAACACATCAGAAATAGTACTGTACATTGATCAGAGGTCTCTGAGATATTACTCTTTTATTTTCGTTTTACATTTTTCTCTGGTTGATAACACGGAAACTGATGTAATTGGAACTTTTGACTGCGACCAAATAAGCCTTGAGTAATAAACAACAGTAAAAAAGGAAGTTTCAAGTAGAAAATGCTCATCGTTTCAGAGAGGGGCAGATATGATTTGCATATGATGATATAAACCAAAAAAGGGAAAGAGTTTCATAAATTATTTGGCATTCAGTGTGATAAAAATGAAAAATAAGTATACTCGGTCCAAGGAAGAGGTTGGGCTTCCTTATTTGAAAGTCACCTCAAATATTCTTAACCCCCATCTTAGTTAAACCACCTGTATTTTTAAATCATTCCTTTTGTCATGCACATCTTGAAACATCAAAATCAAGTTAGATTATGTTGGAATAATTGAGTGGTATTTCTTCTATCTAGATAGTGTACCTCCTCTTTGTACTTTGTAAACTTTGGTGTTCAGGGTTAAAGGTTGTGTTTGTAAAAAAAAAAAAAATACTATATATATAATATATATATATATATATATTATATATATATTATATATGTAGTTTGTAAAAAGTGACAAAAGTGAATAAATGTACATTTTTAGATACAAGATGTGTGACGCTTGTTTCATTTCAGAGGATGTGAAAAGTTGAAGAGAGTTCATTTTGGTCAAAAAGTCCCAAAAGTGTCCACTAGGAGGAGTTATATTATAACTAAGTTACAAAAGAGTGCCACTGGTTTCAGTTTAGATTCATGTTTGGATGTGGAAAAGATCACAGCAGTGTTTTTTATTATTAAGCTGGGACATGTTGACATTCATATCTGATATTTGCTTATAACAAGTTGAATTACTTCGGATGAGATCATGATCTAATCCCTTTATTCATCTATGGCTATGATTTCAGTGTAGAGGGGACACAGCACTAATAATATTTTAATTCCACACCATTACTTTATCTACAGGCCACATGTGATGAGTTAACATAGCACGCAATACATTTTGAAATTTGTTCAGGATTGTTTCACTCCGATTATCCATTTTTGGAGTCTTGTGGGATTTAAACCAAAATCTGAGCTTCTCTCTGTTTATTCTTTCTGTGGCTGTTTCCTCCTATCTCTGTGTTCATCTCTTGATCTCGCTCAGCCTCTCTCAGTTTCCAGCTCTCTTTCCAGCTCTCATGCCCAAACTCTCATGGTCTATTCTCTCTTGCCTCTCCTTTTCTGTTTCTCTCTCCACACCTTTGCAGCTCTCCCTCGTTCGCTCTCCCGCTCTGTTTTTCCCTTTTCTTTCCTCCTCTCTCACCTGGTAACCAGACCTCTGGAGAGAAGTGTTGAGTTTCCACTTTCCCAGAGAAGAGGACAATCTGAGGCACACAAAGACCCACAATGGACCCCCTCTGCTCTCTCCTCCCTTCACTCTGTTGTGGCACAGCTGAACACACATACACAGAAACATGAATTTCACACAAAAATATAAGAATACATAAACCTTTTGCTTGTCATTCATCCTGTCCACACACCTCCTCAGTCAGTTTCTTTTACGGTTTTTTGTATGACACCTTTTTTTCAACTAAACCCTTTCTGATCAATTCAGTTGTATGATGTATGATTTGTCATCTTCCACCCTCCTCTTTCTTTGTATCCTAATAAAACATTTAATTTATTACAGTGTTTATTTAACTGTGTGTGTATACTGTATTTAATGGTTTCCTCATATTGGGGCTGTGACACAATTAGTCATTTACAAGACTGCTAGTGGTTTGGTGGGGTCTTCAATAATCTTAATCTTAAAAATATAATCTGGATCTTTGTTTTAGCAGCTGTGGCAGTGAGGCCATGTAAACAAGTTTTGCATTTCTTTTTCATGGGGGTGGCAGAATTAAGATGTAAACACAACATTGTCATATTATCACCTCATTATCTGTCATAATGTGTAAGCAAACCTGTTGGCATGTTAGCAAACAGTTGCCTATTTACTAGGGTGAGCAGATGCCCCAGTTTTACAGGAACAGTTCCCGTTATTGGTGGCCTGTCACTGGTTGGAGCTTTTCCCGGAAATGTCCCCGTTTTTAACGTTTGTAATTAAAAACAGACATCTAGCATTGCGCTTGTTTTTGCCAACGGAAGGGGTAGGCTGCTAGCTATAGCAGCTTCAGGAGTGAAGCTTAAATCAAAATAGAGTTATCCAATCAGATTTTTCTTTTTTTGTTGTAGTTGTTGTCTCTAGGCAGAGAAAAGGTTAGCTGGCTCACTCATTTCAGTTCATAACTAGGCAGTAAACTAACAAAAACAAACATACTTCAAACTAATTTCATGACTGCTTCAAAGGGAGGGAGTCCTTCATTTTATCAGTCGGTCTTCACAATAGTTTGTTACAATACAACAGTTACCGTGGTAAAAATACATGACTGTCCCCCTTTTTTTATTTCATAGGTAAAAACATTGGATATTTTAATTATATATTGACCGACTAACTGGTTTTCATTTCAGATATTTGGTCATCTTACTATTTATACATACAGCAGATATGAAATAGCATTCACATTCATTTGGATTCAGATTTGTGTCCACCAGGCAAATGTCACCTGTTCACTCTCCTTTTCCCTTTATTTTGCTCTCCACCAGCTCCAATATCTGGCCCTTTAGCTGCTAAATCACTAGCTAGTCGATAACAGTGCCTATTCGGTACTGTGCAGGCAGCATAAAGTTATTTTATCAAAGCTTTTTCACTGACAACAGTTGCAAGCTGTGGGTCGTAAAACCAAAACCATGAGCTTAAATATGCTAACACGCTCCATAGAACTGAGGAGAACTGCAAAGTAATTTGATCAGTTGTTTATAAAAAATATTAATTTGTGCAGCTTTAATTGTTACATTAGGAACTTTATAGACACATAATATAGTTTTATTGTACTACCTTTGGTTTAAAGCTGTATTTTACTACTTTTCTCTTTGAAAGCATAAACATTTAGCAACAAAGCTAAGACAAACTAATGTCACAATTTATCACTGAGAGCTTTAAACAGCCTGTAGAGAATTGCATCTATGAGTTGAGGCCTTTACCCCAAGAGAGAACTTTCCTTTTAAAATGCATTCAAAAAATGATGTGGAGACCTAATGTGTCGGATGCTGATTAGACCACAAAGCAGAGTGCAATTTAACTGTGTGTTCATAAATCAATAACCACAGCCTTCTATCAGCTGTAGGCCCTGCACACTGCAGCACGCAAGTAAAGCGGCTGTACTGTGCTGAACCACGTGTTGGTCTAATAGGAATCTCAATATATCCAGTTTTAGTGTCTACAATGAGCATGCACATGCACAGACACATCCAAAGCACTAAACACACACACACACACACACACACACACACACACACACACACACACACACACACACACTTTCCAACTTTCCAGGGATGATTTGTGCGTTCCCAGGCCTTCGTGGAATACATTTCAGCAGTCAGTCGCACCGGAAACAACTGGACAGGTGGGATAAATCAACCTCATTCACCCCTCCCCCTACACACACACACCTATCTTTGTAACTGGCTTTCCCATATATCCTGTTCAGTGAATCACACCACATTGAGATTAGGAGTGAGAAGCATCGGTTTATTGAGGTTCCCCCTGACACATACGCACACACACACACACTCACACAGATCTACACTCAGGCAGGGGGACAGGGGGACAGTGGTCTCCTATAAATAGCAGCTAGGAATGGCGTTGATAGGTCCTGTGAAAAGAAATGGAGGGGGGGAGTGGAAAAAGGATTAAAAGAGATACAGGGACGCACTGCAACTCCACTTGTTCGTGTGTGTGTGTGTGTGTGTGTGTAAGGTAGTTTAAAGAGAGGAGGTATGGATTTCCTTTCAACAGCCCCCCCCCCCAAAAAACACCATCCATCCACTCTCTCACACACTTCCTCATCCTCTCCTCTGTCTTTCTCATCCTCATTCTCCCTTTCTTTCTTTCCCTTTTTGTACCCCCGTTCTTTCTGTCGTCCTGCACCGAGGCCATGGTGTGAAATCCATCATGTGATAAAACTTAACATTACCCACAGCTCGTCTTCAGACAAAGAGATGATGAGTCACTGCACAGTCCGTTCTTTTAGGTCGGCACGACGATGGTCTCAAAGATGGATCGTGACTCTATCTGTATGTGTCCTGATGTCATTTCCAGAAATTGCTTTGCGACATCATCTTGCCCTTGAAGAAGTCAGGGCAGACGTTAAGTTATGAGCATAAAGGGTTGGTGTACGTAAATATAAATATGCATCCATTTAGATGTAAAAAAAAAAGAGTACATCAAAGCTTTTTTTAAGTATTAAGTATGTGTCACTTTTGAATGAACATCTCATTTTGGACTGAATGGATGCTGTAATTTAATGTCATGCCAAGCAAAGCTTTGTAGATGTGACAAGAGATAACACATAATTAGTTATAGGGGAGTTAATAATGCACTCAGTACAGCAGTGATGGATAGACAGTAACAAACTGTGATTGCCATACTAATTTACATGGTGGCAAGCACAGTATTGACAATCTGTCTTTAAGTGTTAGGTCTCTGCTGATATGTAACCAGAAGCCTTTGTGCAGCTTCTGTGTTGTGTGTGTGTCCTTATGTTCGTCCGCCCAACCGTCTGTGAGGTGTTACAGTGTAGATCTCCTCTGCTTCTTACACTCACACTGTCCTGTGTTATCTGGGTAAATAGGTTGTGGTCTGTTTGTGCTCGCAGGAAGCCCACAACCGCCTTTAGAAGCCTCTCAGAGCCTTCCAACACCGTCAGTCCACTTTGTTTTGTGTGCGTACGATTAATAAAAGGTTAACTCAACCTTCAGTCAACTGTTGAAGAGGCCTGTAAATCTCCCCCACAATCTCTTCCTTCCTCTCCCTTTCTCTCCTCCCTTTGTCTCTCTCCCTTTGCCACACCTTCCCCTGGGGGATGGAGGGATTGTGATCGGAGAACGGAGGTGGGGCTCCTGGCGCAACCACAGGTGTGCCTGTTTCCTCCCTTGTCCTCTCTCATGTAATGATTTCTTTGGCTCGCCACCTGCCAGGTGGAAAAAACACCCACAGCAAATGGAGCGCTTAAACATGGCTTCCTGGCTTCCGCTTTAAAAGACTTTTTTTTTCGTCTTTTATCCATCAACAAACATTTCATTTTATCCTTTTTCATTATCCATTAACTGCATTTAATTCAATGAGGTCTTACTTGAAGCACTTGTTGCTTGCTTACATTTTGCATCACATGCAAATGATGGATTCTGGCTCTAAAAACTGCTGCTACTGAGGCATACAGCTGACAGAGCCTGAAAAGTCAGAGGCTGCCTCTCTAACTCTTTTCTCTCAAGTCCCCTTCCCAGCTCTCTTTCAAACTGCCTCGAGGGTGGGAGAGAGCAGGTCCCAGGCCCTAACAGGTCAGAGGTTGCTCACAGACAATGGGTTCCCACTCTGGGTCAGCTATGGTCAAGGAAACAAAAGCCGTGAAGACCTGGACTGGACAAACTATCACAGTGTTATAAGGTGGCAGAAGTGAGAACAAGACAGAGTTAGAGAGATACGATAGAGCAAAAGCAGAGACAAAAAGGGCAATGTGACCATACTGAATACACAGACCCACCCACACATGCTGTATACATAACATTTTGTAAACTGTGCTTTCACACATACTTTACCAGATTTTAAAATCTGCCAAAACAGTTGCTAAAGCCCATAAAACAAGTCAGCTAAAGTTTCTCAAACACAAAGTGTATCTTTCTCTTAAGGTTCCATCTTGAATCTGTTGTATTGAGATTGGTAATCACTCACAAAATTGACTTGCTTTAGTATTATAATCAGAAGTAAAGCTCTATTCTACCCATATCCTTTCACATCATTCCAACTTGTTCCTCCCCCTCCCCCATGCCTCTGTCTTTCTCCTCTCTTTTTTATTCAGTGCCATTGATCATGCATGCAGAAATTCAGCACGCCCAACCATGGCTCCAGCCAGGATAGGTTAGCTAGTGCAAGGCCCTGTCCTACATACTGTTCTCTCGCTATGGTCCACCAGGCCACAGTCACACCCTCCCCCTGATCTGCCTCCCCTCACACACACACACACACACACACACGCACACACACACACACACACACACACACACACACACACACGCACGCACACACGCACGCACACAAACACCCTGCGGCCCATCTCAGACTCAGCACATGCACAGATCATCATGTGGTACTGGGAATGTTAACTCATCACTACCAAAAAACTTTTAGTCAGGTGCAGAATGAATGAGATTTTTTTGGGCGGGCTCATTTCTGTCTCTGGTTTAGTTTCACTTGTAACTTGTTACACACACACACACACACACACACACACACACACACACACACACACACACCTGTGCACAACCACGACTACTACATGCCTAACCTTAAAACACGTCTTCACCTTAAAATTGAATGACTTACATCATGGGGATTTTCTTTTTGTCCCTGTAAGGAATGAGAGTGTGATTTAGGTATTACATGTGTAATACCTATTACTCATGTAATACCTAGATCACACACACTATACTGTACGTATGCTGCAAGCTTTTGGTTTTTCTGTAAATCAAGGTCACAATCTTGTGAGTTAAGCCAGTGCATTTCACCTAATTTTGTGAGCACTCAACTTAACATTTGCCAGGGCAGCTGAGGTACATGACAAAATCACTCAGCTGACCAGGCTTGCCTTGTCTGGCAGAGAGGCTGACTTAGAGGTAATGCTGCTAATCTACCACTTAGCTGGTTAGGATGGCCTGTCACGTGGGTGGCCAGAGAGGGGAAGTGGGTAAGATCAGGTTTAGATGAGGGTTGAACTGTCATTGGGTAAGAACAGGATGAAAGATGTCGAGTGGTGATCACAGCTGTTTTGAATGTGATGGATTAGGATGAGAGCTGGGCAGCAGGAACAGGTGGGCTGAGGGTTGTGTGAGGGCTGGACCAGGCAAGAATGATTGATGGATGAAGATGACCTCAAATAGTGTGTTTACAATGCTGCTGCTGTTGAAAATGAGTCCAGGAGGTGACTAAAAAGAAATTCAGGTCAAAGATGATTTTTAATATATGTTGTGGATTATAGTGAGGGTTGGACTGAGTGAAGGTAATGAATACACATACTATCACATACCATGACATCATATCATATAGGATCACAGCATATTACTTCACATTGCATCATGTAAGATACATACCATATTAAACTGCATAACATCTTATTAGAATAACATCACATTACATCCATCCACATAAAATCAAATTACATCACATTACATCATAACATCATAAGATCACATCACGGTACATCATATAAGATAACACCATATCACATTAGGCCTACATCATATAAGACGATATGACATCACATTACATCATATAAGATGACATAATATTAAATCATATAAGATAACACAATATCACATTACGCCTACATCATATAAGATGTTATGACATCACATTACATCATATAAGATGACATGACATCACATTACATCATATAAAATCAAATAATATTATACCATATAAGATAACACCATATCACATTAGGCCTACATCATACAAGATGACATGACATCACATTACATCATATAACATGACATCACATTACATCATGTAAGATCACATAATATTATACAATAGACTATAAGATAACTCCATATCACATTAGGCCTACATCATATAAAATGAGATGATATCACATTACATCATATAACATGACATCATGTTACATTACATCATATAAGATCACATCATATAAGATGACATGACATCACATTACATCATATAACATCACATCACATCACATTAAATCATGTCAGATCAAATTACATTACCTATATAACATCATATAAGATCACATCCTGTCAGAAAGCAGGCTCTCACTGACCTCTATGCAATCTGAAACTACAGAAGTGACTCCACTGCCAACTAGCTGAATTTATGTGTGGCTTAATGGGTTGGGAGCAAGTATCCTGGTTACAGATGCCTCATTTCACCTGAGGCCTAACCTGAGGCCTATTCTGGCTCTACCGGAAGACATAATTTTCCGTTAGTAACACCTGAAATCCTGCTCGGAAATGATGTAGAGCAATCACTAATAAGGGACAGGACATTCGTCAACAATTAAAAACATGATTTGCACATACACCTACAGTGAATGTTGGCGCTGTATGTTATTTAAGTCTTCTAATTTTGCTCATTGCATTTATTTCTTGATCCATTTTCCGTCGTGATGCTTTGGTAATGTAGAGAGAAAAGCTACTGTAGATCCCAAGCCATTCAAAGCGCATTAATGGGCCATGCTGTTGTGATCAACCAATGACATGAACGGCGGGGAAACACTACAGAGAGAGCGCCAGTGGCAGCATGAATAAAGGCAGGCAACGTGCTGGAGGGAGGGAGGGAGGTCCGAGGCTGGGGTAGGCTACGGGAAAACGAGGTAGAGGCGGAGTCTCTCTCCGAGCGTGTATGCATGTGTGTGTGTTTCGTCGCTCACCCCTCCTCCTTTTAACCACCCCACCCCCATCTCTGCTGCCCCCCCCCCCCGCTCTCCCTCCCTCCCTCCCTCCCTCCCTCGGCTGCCCGCCCCTGAGTCTGGAGCAGCAGCAGCAGCAGCAGTGGAGCTTCACTGCCTCTCCTCGCCTCACAGTGCGGGAATATACCAGCGGAGAGCAGAATGGACACGGAAGGGAGCCAGAGCAGCCTGTCCTCCGGCACGGACAACTCCCCCCACGACCCCTGGTAACAGCCTCAGCCCGCCCGCCTGCCTTTTGCTCGCCTCTCGGCCCGGTTTGAGTTCACCTTGGACTTTAGTTGAGTTCAGTGCGGGAGCGGAGCCGCGCCGAGACAAAAGACAAGCACGCTGTGTGTGTGTGTGTGTGTGTGTGTGTATATATATATATGTGTGTGTGTGGGATGGATCCACTCAGCGGAGGAGACACAGACGCACCGCTGCTTTCCGCCTGTTTTTCCCCCTCTTGATTGTTTATTTATCTCGGTTTTCCTCCAGAAGGCCACATTGCAACTTCTCCTCCATCATCTGGAAAATCCTCTCCTTTTTTCCCCTCCTCTAGGGGATTATAACGGCCCGACTGGCCGATTGGTGACTTCGCAACATGGCCGATGCTTTCTTCTTACTTTATTGATGCGATATTACACATAATTCCTCCAGTTTCTCCCCCCTCCCCAATTGAATGTGCCTGTGTTGTGCTTGAAAGACGCGTGTTATTCTGTGTGACTTACAGCTTCTATTTCTCTCATTCAGCAAAATGTTCATCGGGGGTCTGAGTTGGCAGACAACACAAGGTGAGCTGTCCCGCACGCTACTTTAATAAGTCTCAATGAAAGCCTCCTGTTTACGCCTCTTCTCCTCTACATACATCTGGCTTAATTATAGCTCCCGCATTACCCGCCAGGCTTCCTGAAGTTAAGGAGAAACACTGTAAATAGTTAAATCAAAGCCTTCTATTCAATAAGGATCAGCTCTTAGGATTTAGATTCGCCGAGACGCATGGAGATTAACACTGGAAATGCGTGCACACACAGCGACTTGTCTGCCTTTTCCTGTGCACTCATTACAGCGTTAATATCAGAGAAGGGCATTTGTAGTAGAAGTGATCGATTATTCGGTGTTTAAGCAGAAGTTCAGCTCATATCGGTGCAACCGCTCGTGTGTTGTTTTCCTTATTGTTGCACTCCGCTGCATCCATTCATTTATTTTAAGACCCATGAGCGCAGGCTGATGCATGAATACAGTTTATTCTTGTTGCGATGGCCCGTGTTATTATCCCACTGCTGCTGCTGCTGCCGCCGCCGCCGCCGCTGCTGCTGCTGCTGCTGTGGCAAAACAGCAATCGTCACCAAGTGTAGCTTTGTTTGCGGGGCCTAATGGGCTGTTATGCTGAATGGCCAGATAGCTCGTGTACAACCACTGAGGGCTGGAGGGACACAAACACAACGTGGTCCGCCCGACCCCATTGTCTCTCTCCAGCCACTGCCAGCACATCACCTCACCAGGGCCTGTACAGGACACGTCTCTCATCCCTGCGTCCATTTAACCGTATTCCCCCTCCTTTGCTTCCTTTGCAGAGGGCTTGAAGGAGTACTTCTGTAAATTTGGCGAGGTGAAGGAGTGTATGGTGATGCGGGATCCCGTTACCAAGCGGTCGAGGTAAGAAGGAGGCGTGTGCGCTCCGCCGTCCTATCACTGGATGCCCCATGCATCTCCATGCTCTTCCATGAGGCTGTTTAAGCTGCCGTAGTTTGCATTCTGATGTTTGGACTTGAATTGTTGTTTTTCTCATACAGGGGCTTCGGGTTTGTAACATACGCAGAGCAAGCTGGTGTGGAAAAGGTTTTGGCGCAAAACAGACACGAGCTGGATTCCAAAACGGTGAGTTCTCCCTTTGAAAACATGGATGGTGCCACTAAGTTCTCGTGGGTAACTTTTCCAATCTGGTTTCTGTGTAGCATGTTTTTTCCCCCCTCAGTGCATTTTACCTCCCCACCGTATGGCTTGTAAAGTTGAGGAGTGCGTTTTGGAGCAGCCCCCTCCTCCTCCTTCTTCTCTCTGCTCATTTCCCCCTCCAAATCCCGGTTCAGGGCGCCAACATGAAAGCGTTCTTTCTTGGTCTTCATTGCCATGGTTACCTGGGGGACCTGAATGGGGTAGGAGCCCCTGCAAAACCCTCACAGGGTTTATACAGAGAGCTCACAAGTTTTTTCTTCTTCTTCTTCTTCTTTTTTTTTTCCACAGAAAATAACAGCACCAGTTTTGGTAGTGGCAACTCTGAGAGGAAAAAAAAAGTTTGAGGAAAGGAAACAGTTGTGGCAGTGGTTCCTAAACTGATGTCAGGGGAAGTTTTAGTTGGATTTAAATATCGATGTAGAGGCTGAGGTTTGTGGAGGATGTGTTGGAACAACTACTGTGATCTGGAGTTTCTCTGTGATTTCCCCTCCGACACTACTGACACATGACAATTCAAATGTGTTTACATGGGACAAATCAATTACCAAACAGAGGTCAGAGCACACAATATCCTTGTGGTGAGCTACATGATGTACCTACAGCATGTTGACACGAAAACACGTGTGAATCCCTGTGTTTTGTAGTTTGGTGAAAGTCAGAGCTGCTGACGGCTGAATTTAAATATCTATGAAAGTGTGAATGCTGTCGTCTTGGTCATGTAGATTTGTTGTAGGAATGGGGACTGGGTGTGTCTTCGTCAGCTTGTGGCCTGTCCTAACCACTTGTACACACACTCGCACACACACACAATAGGATTATTTGAGAGTGAAAATCGGTGGCACAGAAAGGCAGCAGGGCCCTGGGGTGGAGAAAGGTAGAGTTGGTTAGCTGTTGGAGCAAGCCTGTTGCCGGGGGTGACGCCAGCCACAGGAGACAGTGCTGTAACTGCACAGCCTGATGGGATTTATGTCTCCATAACAACTTCTCTGCTATTTTGCATTAACTTAAGACACTGGGCTTGGTTAGGTAGCAGGACTCTGACACACACAGATAATGTCATGACAGACCTTTATACTTGTTTGTGTGTGTGTGTGTGACACTAAGATAATATCTGTGTGTTTGTGAGTGTGACGGTTTAAAGCTGTGTTGAATTAAATGGATCTTTCTACATAGTTGCTGTAATATTTATTAGAAAACGAGTGTTGCTGCTTGTGATCTGTCACTGTTTTCAGTGATCTTGGAAGTCATTCTGTGCAACTATAAATTGCTACTTAGTGAGTTATATTACCTCTTAAAACTAGGTACTGCTGGAGTCCTTGAGAATCAGACCATGTGTGTGTGTGTGATGGTTTGGAGGCAGAGGTTTTTGGAGGCTCAGCTTGGCAGGCCACTGGTGGGGTTAGGCGTTGCCCTATTATAAACCAAAATACAGCATAAGGCTAAACAATAATAATGTTAACGACCCGAATGCAGCTTTGGTTGCTCAGGTTGTTGTGGTCGCATTGTGTGGGGGAAGCACGCCATGGTACCACTTATCCAAACAGGCGTTTTAAGCAGGGGTATGGTTGCCATTTTGTCGTTCCATTTTGGGAATAAGAGCGTGGATTTTTTTTTTTTTTCATGTGTTTGCAAATCTGAGATTTGCAAGAGCTACATAGTTAAACGCAATAATGACTTCAGGCTGTGTTTTTTTTTTATCGCTGAAAGCCTAATTCTATGACGCTACATAAAATATAATTGATGTAAAATGACCGAATGTTGTACAGCAGCAAAACAGCTAATTCCTAGCTCCAACCACTGTATCAGGTCACACGGTTTCGGTTTCCACTTTTGTTGGAAAAAGATCTTGAATAAAGCCTTTCAAGAGTTAATTTTTTGGTAAAACACACTGCAGCTGCGAGTCAACTGTGGGTCAGACTCTGTGGAGTTGGAGTGAATATTTTTAATAACTTGCCTGGCTTTATGGGACCAGTGTCAACCTCTCTGTAACATTTCCAACACCTGTGTTTTTGATTATTTTCTGTATTTATTTATTTCCATATTTTCAATGCACTTTGTGTCTGCCTCACACCTGGACCCTCCCTCCCTCCACAGTATTGTTTGATCAGCATGAGATTTGAGAAAGACGTCCCTCCCTGGAATGAGGAAGAATATTCGATGCTCTGATTTTTTTTTTTTCTTTTTATGCTGAGCTTAAGGTTTTTGAGAAAAGACGCTGCAAGGCCTGAAGCAGGAAGGTGAGAGGCGAGGAAGGTGTTTGAAAAGGATGTAACAGAGCAACAGGGTGCTGTGTTAGGATGAACAGGGTGAGAAGTAAACTACATTAGCTGGTGCAAGGTCCATTTCACTGGTTACAAGTGGTATTAAACATTTACAGTCCTGTTACATCAACAATTGTCTTATCCACCCTTAGAAAACTAAAGCCAGAGGCTAAATGCTGATTTAGCATTATTATTACCGTTAATACCTGTGTGCCTAAAAATATAAATTCAACAAACGATGAGAGGTCGTCTTTTGTTTTTGGAGTGAGCTCCGTTGAGGTTGTTGTTTTGGTCGGAGGTTAGATTTCCTGTTAGGGCAGAGTGTGGCCTTAGGGCAGTGGTGTGCTGCTGTATTTCTCTGGACAGAGAAGAAGGGCACAACTGGTATTTGTTTTCTCCGAGTAATACTTTACTGGGACCAGTTACGGGAAGAGGAAAAGCTGAGACCAGATATTCTCTGAAATGTTTCTACTTCTCATTCACGGGGATTAGTGCAGGATGAGTTTAGATTGTGGCGTGCTACTATTTGTTGTGTGTTTGTGTGAAGTGATGGATAATTGTGCACTTTTTTGTTTTTATGATTAATAAACATATTTCTTTAGTCATTTTCACAGTGCAGTAGACAGTACTTATGATTTATTCATTTAGTGATGATGCATTATTTTTTTAAAGGGCAGTGTCCCCCACATAACAATAAGTGTAATACTGAATTAACATTACTTAAAAGGAAAACATATTAATAGAAGGGGCTGGCAAAAATAAGGAATACACAGATTATTATTATTATTTTTTAAAACATTTTTTACACGGAGTAAACAGGGATGCTCCTCTGTGTCACAGTAGGTGGTAATTACTGCTTTTGGCACACCCGTCTGTGAACGCACTGTCGTAGTCATCACTGTGGTGCTAATATAGCTGCTTTCATCTATAGCCGTGCACTGTAGCAACATATGCTAGCAGCAGCCTCTGTGGACCATTGGCACCACAGTCTGCCAATGTCTCTACTGTCTCAGTCTCTCCTGGTCTAACACCTGGTTAGTGGAGAGCTTAGATGCTAGCAGTAGCTCCTCGCTCCTGACTGGAGATTAGTTGTTAATGCTGACGTGGACAAAACTGGACAGGGGGATGGAGAAGGTGGAGGAGAAGAGAGAGAGAGAGCAGGAGAGAGGAGAGGGAGGGAGGCCCAGCTCCTGTGCTGTAATTAGTATGGATCTGAAAAGCAACTAATCGGATTGAAGGAAACAAACTGGATTGGGCTTCCGAGGTCCATGCGCGGCCTCAGACCTGGGGATAAAGCCTGGACTAGCTCTGGAGGTGGATCTAGGGCGTTCTCGCCATGCTACATGTGCACAAACTCACACCACACCAGCACCCGCACCAGCACCACAACCACAACCACCGCACACGCCCACCCTGGATAGCCGCTCTAGCAGGGTTACAGGGGTAGCGATGGGGTTGGGTTGGGGGGGTCCTCATTAGTGGGCTTCGTTAACTAATTACTGTGCCATTGTTCAGCTGTGCAGATTGACCCTGCTGGCCTGAGCCCAAACCAAGTCTCTCTCTCGCTGTGTGTGCATGCAATGACATGCCAACTCCTTTTGTCTCTTCTTCTGTTTATAGCTTTTTGTTTAGCTTTATATTGATTATATTGCCATAATGGGGCAGCCTGTGGTGCCTTTTTTTTTTTATCAACGTGGGTGCCATTTTGTTGCAAGAATGTCTTGGCAGGTTGGCCAGTGTGTCAGAGATTGAATGTTTGTATGTGATTTGACACATTATGGCTATACGTGTGTTGCCACTGGTTTGGAAGAGGTGGATATATGTGTATATTTCCGCATATTTGCCCACATAATTACATATATGTGTCACTTTGTATACATGTGTTGGTGTTTATGTTTATGCTACATTGTGTGGGTGCTTGTGAGTGTGTGTGTGTGTATGTGTGTGTGTGCCTGTGGGGGTAGCACGGGAGCCCCAGTTCCTCTACGGGCCCATCTGTTTTGTACTCTTTGTCCTGTTAATTAATGGAATCAGAGGGGCTGCCTGCTGGGACGGCCCCGCTGCACCGCTACACTGGACAGGCCCACTTTCTCATGGGCTGACTCTGTTTTCCAAATGAATGCCTTCTCTTTCTCCCCGCACTTTTTCTCTTCCACCTCCTCTCTCTCTCTCTCTTGCTCTCTCTCTCTCTCTCTCTCTCTCTATCTACCTATCTATCTATTGTTTTGACACCATTTTTTTATTGTTTTTTTTTTCCAGTTTGTAACACTGGTGGACGTGCTGGGCCACGTGAGGTGACTATTGGTCGTAGATTAGTCTAGCCTTAAAAGCTAAACCACTAAAATCATATTGTAGGCTCTGCCGTCACTATGCTGCTTAGACTGAGCGGAGGTTGGATGTCATGAAGCAGGATGTTAGTCAGACCATTTCGTGAACACTCAGTCATAACTCTTCTGTGTCAGTCTGGGAAGAACAACTTTTTGTCTTCTTAGAAAGGCTTTACCATTATTCATGAGTAGTTACATTTTCACCAGTCTGATTAAGGCTGTTACATTGCAGAGCCACTTCTCAAATGTCAAGCCTCTCTGAAGAGCTATTTCTGAGTGTTGCAAACAGTGACCTGGCTAAGTCATTTCACTTTTTGCTTTGTGGCCTATCTGTCTTCCTCGAGGCTAATCTGCCAGTCTGATAGATGCTTTAGTTTTCATTTATTATAGCCTTCCTCTGGGTACAGCCAGATGTAGAAACTACGTTAGATATGTTCTGTTACTTCGCTGAAGTGGAATGATTTTTTTTAACCGCATGGCATGACTGTAGCTGTAGTAGCACTACTACAGATATTTCATTAGGCCTAACCTAGTCTAGTTGGTAACCTTCTATATTTTAAGGCTGTTTTTTTTAAGAGCTTCTGATCATTTAAAAGCTATGAAATATTGGTGCTTTGTCAACATGTGTAGTATGGGTGGGCAATTTTATGCTATATACCAGTTAAATTTAGAGATTTTATATTGTTTGTACTATGTTATCTGTGTCTTTAATATCTCTGATTTTCTGATGTTGTATCAATGAGATTGTTGTATCAGTGTGTTGGCGTATCTATGTATTTGTCAGTTATTTAATTTGCTAGATAAGCCAAATAATTAACGTCCAGTTATTTTATCCATAAACAGTTTTTCAAACGAGTTTCAACAAAAAATATCACAATATATATCAAATCTGTAATAATATACATATACTGATACACCTGCTCCTAATGTAAAAATGGCGGCGTGAATTGAAGAGGACATGGATCTTACAAATGTGCATTGACTGAGACTAAATTTTATCACCTCATGCAGGTAAATCAGTGTAAAAGCTGTTGGATGTTTGTGTTTGTAGAAACATAGTTTTTTGTTGCGAATATATTACTGAGTTCACCGCGGTGATTGGTATGTGACTGCAGCCTTGTGTCGAATGTGAGAGTTGGTTTCTCAGCGCTGTCACTGTCAGCTCATGGTCTGTGAATCTGCCATATAATCGCCTCAGGGCAGCTCCTGTACTCTAGTCTTGTTAAAACAGTTAAAGGCAGGTGGGCTGACCTGAACACAAGAGGCTGTTACCCCTCAGTGCTTTCAGGTATGAGGAAACACCAGCCATGTTGTCTGCATTTACCCAAGGACTGCTTTGTTAAGTTAGGATGTGTTGTTAGGTTGTTATGTAGTGTTATTACAATAAAAAATACACACAAGAGAAAGTGACACAATGCAATATTTAATGATGACGTGGTGAAGCAGTGTTCCACTGTGATTCTGTCATTGTGTTATGCTTCAGAGGTCACTGCAGCTTCTCCTTTCTCTAATGTTGCTTGTCTTTTGGATTTATGCCATAAAATAAATGCCCAATCTAAAAACAGTGTTGTTCAACAGTACAGGTGGACTGCTACTTGTACTGCAAAGACCTGTAGTAGATAGAGACGGCTGCTTCTGCACTTGCCATTTACAGCGCTTTTTATCTTTTGCTCTCCTATCGTTTTGATTTCTGTTAAAAGGGAGAAAACCACATGGTACATACGCCACACATCTATTATGTTATATTTGGCAGGTCGAGTAAGAAATGCTGCGTTTCCACTGTTTGTGAGTGCACTCTGCTGTTGCACTGCTGTTGCCGATAGTCACTGGTGGCTTTGCGTGTCCTTGTCACCTTTGTCTTTGTGCTCAGACCAGCTGGAGGTGACGTGACTCTTCTCGTTTTTGTGTCCCTCTTCAAGGTGCAAAGTCCTTCTGCGATCCTTTCCAAGGACGCTGCAGCTGCATCTTAGTTACACAGCATTGTGCCCTCGAAGCAGCGGGAAATCTGTGGCACTTAAAAGGCCCTCGTAGAATATTTGTAGATTTGTCATCAGAAGCAGGGAATTATCGCAGGAAAGAGATGAAAGGATTGTGTGAATATTGAATCAATGCACTCCCTTGCATTGTGTGTGTTGTTCATATTATAAGTACTTGTTTCTGGCTATTTGATAGGCTCCTTTTAGTTGCCAATATCAATTCAATACCTCTGACAGCGGCTGTGTGAGACACAAGGGGTCTTGCTTCACACATCCAATTATTAGAACAAAGATGGAACTCTAAGACCATAATACACCACAAGGTCCTGTGACCTAAAATCATCTCTCTCGTTGGCTTGAGTGAGAATAACATGAGATTCCACACAAATTTAAAATGCCAGGCCAGGCTTTGCATATTTAGCATTATTAAAGGCCAGCTCATTCAAAACTCATTTGCTTCTAATTTTATCTGTAACCTTGACCACTGCTGAGACATTCCACTGAGGAGAAATATGGATACAGTCAAATCTCGCTAATCCAAAATGGGGGTTGTCTGGATTTGTGAGATTTAAAAAATATATATATCCATCAGAAATATATTCAGAATATTAAATGCTCATTTTGGATTCCACACTGCCCTGAACTGTCTAAAATACATTTAGTTGTGTCTCAACACACAATTCAGAGAATGTACGTATTCACGTCTCACTGTGTATTTTGTTCCCTACGTCTGTTTGTTTGGCTGGTGTGTTTGGATTTTTTGGGGCTTGCATAAACAAGGATCTACTATACATACTCGCAGATTTGCATACGTTCTATTTCTGGACTTGTAGGCCGTCAGATGGTTCAGACTTAGAGGCTCAGTGTAATAACTAATTCTGGTTTGTTAACAGTGTGATAATTCATTGATGCCCAGAGGGAAATTCACTTTGCACAAGCACAGGATCAGCTACTAACATATCCGGAGCAGGTAGAGATTTGGTGTCTCTGTTAAAGAAACTTAAGCATGGTGTCCCTCCAAGACTCAGAAGGAACATGAAAAACACTTTGATTTCTGTTTAACCCCTTTTTAACCTTTATATCTGTTTGGGGTCCTGGAGATCCAGGGCCCTCTGTAACTGCTCAGAAAACATATTTTACATTGTTTGATCAGCTTGATACCTCATGACATCTAAGAATTTCTTATATTTTGAAATGATGACGTGTTCAAAAGTCTGCATTTCTACTGTGTGGGGTATTAGAGATCCCAAACTTAAAGCATGGTTAAGTGCAATGGATTTTCATATGCTCTATGTGTCTGATTGGTGTTGACAGTTCTTTTTATACATCACTACTGCTGCCAAATCCTAAATAAGTCTAATTGGATTTCTGTTGTTGGAGTTTTAAAACGGGCTTCAATGGGTCTATTGGTGACCCCAATCATATGTAGATAATATATTGTACATCTCTTTGTCCATGAATGACTTTTTGGGAAGCTAAAGAAATGTGTATATTCATTAATGCATGACCCATATAATTCTATGTAATTAGGTGTAATTCCTGCATTTTGCCACCTTTTGTAAAATGTGTAAGCCAAGCCCCCCTTGAATACTTTTGTACAGAAAGTAGATGGAAAGAAAAATATATTAATTGGTTACTTACTTAATTTTACATGTATTATTTTTTAGACATACCTGACTGGGTTCTGCGAGTCCTCAAACAATGATGACATAAAACAAATGTCAATAAAACACAAGGGTTAAAATCATGATTGTTGCACATTTCTAATAGAATCTTCTAACTATCTGTAATACATTAGTGCCGACCTACTACAATCATCACAGTTCATCACTCATCATAACTGCAATCAAATTCACACCAGAGTCTTCTTGAACTATGTGTGTCATTACAATAAAATTTGTAAAAACCACTATTATGAATTTTTAACACTCTGTTATCTCATCTCTCCCCTGCAGATCGACCCAAAAGTGGCGTTTCCCCGCCGGGCCCAGCCTAAGGTGAGTGCACCATGAAGAGGTTAATGGCAAGGAGTAGTGATGATGTCATGTGTCACCCCTAATCACTCAGCTCTGGTTGGCTGGGATTAGAGTCAGGCACGTGACAAAAGAGGAGCGGCAATTCACATGTCCAGCCTGACATCGTGGTCCCGTACCCTGAGCCCACCCCACCCCCACACACCACCACACCCCAGCACCCCAACCATCAGCAGCCAACATCTCACGCACACACACATGTGCTTGTGTCTGTCCTGGCTCACACATGAATGAATACTCACACACAGCACTGTAGACACACATGCACACACACCTTTGAGCTCTACATGTAACAGACCAACAGACTTAAACCGAACTGAATTAGCTTGAATGCTCAGAAGAGCTTTCAGAAACCTCTGAGATTAGATAAACACCAACAAACACAGAGTCTCTTTATCACAGGCATCTTCCCCTCTGCCTAATGTGATTAGAGGTAAACGATGCCTTCTTCTTCTTCTCTCTTGCTAGCTGGTGACCAGGACAAAGAAGATCTTTGTCGGAGGGCTGTCAGTCAATACCACCATCGAAGATGTGAAGCAATACTTCGACCAGTTTGGAAAGGTGAACTATACACAAATCTGGTATCTATTTGTAGCCATCACGCTCTGTGACAAGCTCCTGTCTTTCAGACTCTCTAATGCAGTGGCTCCTAACCTTTTTTTTCCTTCTGGTGATCCCTTGCAGTCACCAGCCGTTGCGTTACACATGTGGCCATTTGAATTGATTTTAATCTGGATTAAAAGTGGATAAAATAATTACTACACTGTCTGGTCATTTTGGTTCAGTTTGGTTAAGTTTGCATTCGTACTACTTCCACTTGGAGTGGCAGAATCTGAATGTTTCAACTATTTATCCATTACTTTTAGCTATTTAAAGCATTTATCCATTAGCTATCTTACTGTTAGCTAAATAGTTCAACCATTTTCCTTTTTACATAAGCTATTTCAATCATTTATCCATTAGCTATTTGAGCTAATGGATACATCATTACTTTTAGCTAGCAATTTTATATATTACTTTTAGGATAATTACTTCAACCATTCTCCTTTTAACTGTTTGGCTGTTGAACCAATTATCTATTACCATAAGCAAACTATGTCCATTATATGACCATTACTTTTAGCTATTTCAATCATTGATCTATTAGCTAACTATTATTCATTACTTTTAGCTAACAGTTTCTCTTGGTTCCCTACCCGCTTACTAAGTAGTTTTCATGCACATTTAGTTGCATCTAGTGGTGTTCAGATGTCATAACTGACTCAATATGTGGACACACATTTTGTAATCAAATCCAAATTTCTATTTTATCAAATTAGTTGTGCTACTCCACAGTCTTGCCACATTGCCACTGGCAAGTTCCCCTGGTTAGGAATCACTGATCTAATGGACCTTTGATAAATTATACTCATCTTTTGACTGTGTCCCTTTCATATATTTCATCTTTTCTCTGCACATTTATAAAGAAATGATTGTTTTACACCCTTTGTTTTGCTCAGTTTCCCCCTTTCACTTGAGTCGATGCGTGACAAAAAGTGCAAAACGGATCTAATTTCAGAGAAAAGGTGGTGAGAAAAAGGCCAGACGCTGAAAGTGAAAGACAGGACTGAAAGAAGAAAGAATTAAAAGAAAAGAAAGAAAAAGCCGTCTGGTCATTGATGATCTGATGATCTGCTCTGCCAACTAAAGCATGAGTTAGTTTGTTAGTTTATCTCTTTTGTTAGCTGTTTCCGATCACATCTTGGTGTTTTTACCGTCTACATTTGTCCTGCTCAGCTCCTTTGAATGAAATTTGGTGAAAGGCAAACACATGCTGTGGAGACAGATGAGTGGACGGGGAGAGGGAGGAAGAGAAAAAGCAGCGAGAGGAGGGGAAGAGAAGAGGGAGATGGCGGGGGACTGAAAGGGAAGAAGCAACCCCCCATGGAGAGAGAGGGAGGGGAACTCGGAAAGGGTTGAAGGGCAGAGAAAAGGAGGAATGTTGAGATAGTGAGGAAGAAAAGTGGCTATGAAAAGGAAAAACACCAATCTGATGGGCCATAAATGTATGGAAGTAACTATCGTGCATGAAATGTTGGGTTACTTTTTAGCTAACAACACTTCGGGGGGTTTGGGAGTGTGTTTGAGTGGAGTTCAGGCTCTTCAGTATTAACTAATCAAATGCAACAGCTGCTCCTGTAACAGCCCCCCCACCTTACCCAAAATCAGTACCTCAGACATCAACTCCCCTCCCATCCCGCACATACACACACCCTGCTCCAGTCCCTCTCAGCTTGTTGCCGTGGTGACCTGCTTTTGCCCATTGTCCTGCTGTAATCCAATGTTTTTTTGTTTCCTTTAAAAAAATGCGTGAGAAGTGTGTATTTGCATGAATGGAAAGAGGGGTGTGCGTGCTTGTGTGTGTTTGAGTGTGCGTGCTTGTGTGTGTTTGTGTGTGTGTGTGTATGTGTGTGTGTGTGTGTGTGTTTGTGTGTATGTGCATGAAAGTGTGACAGTGGCATCGTTGAGGCTGCGAAGGGAGGCGAGCTTGCATACATTTGTCCTGATACAGACAGACAGTAAGACTCACAGCCAGTGATCCACTTGTCAAAAACGTGAAGTGTGTGGTTTGGCTGCTCTTGGTGAGCAGGACTGTCTGAAATGAGCATTGCTTCAGGATGTAGGCCTAATGGGTTGGAAGAAATTAACAGCACGAAGCTCCTTCTGCCTCGTGTCTGGCTGTGTTTTTCTCTCAGTTGGCCTCTGACTCGTGTTTGGGGTATTACCATATTTCAGGTGCTATTTTAAATTTAAATAATGTCTTTATAATTCTGGGTCGTGGATCCTGTTCTGCCTGGATTACGCGTGTGACCAACTCATTGTAAAGTGGATGTTGTGACATGTGTCATGTTTCCTGAGTGCGTTGCGTTAAAATGGCTGCAGCACTGTGCCGAATCAGTTCTCCCTGGTGATTACGGACACTCATATCTAAGACAACACTCCCTCCGCAGGATGAGGGGATATTTGGACTGTTTGGACACGTGAGACCAAAGCTGTATCATGGATAGCGCCAATCCCACAGTGCATTCCTGCTGAGCAGGAGGTATTTCTTGTTTATTATCTGAGCCTGGTTACAAGGTGCAGGTTAGGATGGAGTAGGAGTCAGTGCCCTGTTTATTTTCATACTGTGGCACCGCCTTGCAAAGGAAAACACAGAATGCACTATGCATTTTCTGCAACTCTTTGATACGTGCTGAAGTTTGTTTTTTTGAAGGATACTTCTGAAAGCACACCTACGCAAACTTCATTAGACTGGACAGAAATGGCGGCTTAGTTGACACATCAGGTGTTTTGGACCAAACCGAGGATTCAAAGGCATGTGTTTATGTGTGGTTTCCCTAACTGAACAAATCTGAGCTCCTGTTGCTAAATGTCGGTGGGCCAATAAGACCACAGCAGCCATGTTTGTATGAGAAATAAGTCTGAATCCTGAGGTGGAGGTCTTGTGATCCCCCCTCAACCTGGTGGAGAGCTGAGAACACCTCCCTTCTTTCTGTCGGTGACGCTGAATGTAGAGCCTGTGTGGATCAGAGAAATGTGTTTTAAACTGGAAATCAGGCATGCAGTTTGGTAATTTGATAATTAGTATTTCAGGCATTTTGGTCACACAGTCAATTATGTTTAATCCTAAGGAAATCCCTGTTTTCGAGCCTTTCATCCTGCCTCTCGGTACCACATTCCTGAAAGTGCCTTACATAAAAAAAAAAAAAAACTACCATTAACCCCCCCTCCTTTTAAACTCTTTCAAAATAAAACGAGAGAATATGTACAGGAAGGAAGAAGTGGATAAGATGAAAAGTGCAGCATGTGGACAGGGCAGACGGGAAAAGTTGGGACTCCACTCACCCATGTGAGCTGGCGATTAGGAGGCTTGACTGAACACTTTGTCTGCTGGCCTGTTTAGAGAGAGGGATGGCTGCAGAGTGAAAGAGGGAGATGTGAGGAGACAGCGGGGAAAAAATGTAAATGCCACCTTTCATAATCTTGGAAAAAAAAAGTGTAATGGACTTGCCAGCAAACACTTGTTTGTCCGACAATAACTGTATGCTTCACTAAAAACTGGATATTTTTAATGCTGCGCTCTGAAAGCTGCACAGTTAACCCTGGTCTCGGTACATCTGAGAATGTCAGAACTTCATGAGAATATGACCTTAACTTTTCTTCACTCTCTGCATGCATGCTGAGTAGTTAGCGACTGAGCCGCTGCTAAGCCAATCTCAGACCCCCACAGCTATCCAATCAGATTGTCTTACAGCACCCTGGGCAGTGGACATTGGAGATCGTCTTCTTATTGGTTTTGGCAAGGGCAAGGGGCTGGTGTGCGACCACAGCATAAGCTCACACACGTGACAGAATCGCTTGCAAGTCAGCACACCATTGTATTCTCGTGGAGGACAATTAGGCTAACCGTATTAGCTTGACTGTACAGCACATTAGCTTTTTTGTGGCTTAAAAAATTTGGCCTCAGAGCGGCACAACTCAAAAGCTCCTCTGACCAGTCGTGCTAACCAACCCTCCAGAATAGATGCTGCTAATGCTAACAGGATGGCTAGCTGTGCATGTAACTCTACTCTTATGATAACATGTTGGCCTGCAGCTGTCTACTTACTGTCCTGTTCCCTGGCTCTCTGCTCTGTCATTGAGTTTGGACGACCGGAAGGGTTCACGGCATAGGGGGATAAAAACTGAATGAAGGACAGAAAGAGGAGGGGGTACTCTGTGTGTGTGTGTGTGTGTGTGTGTGTGTGCGTGTGTGTGTGTGTGTGTGTGTGTGTGTGTGCGTGTGTGTGTGTGTGTGTGTGTGTGTGTGTGCGTGTGTGTGTGTGTGTGTGTGTGTGTGTGTGTTTGTGTGTGTGTGTGTGTGTTCCAAGCTAACACTGACAAGGAAGAGAGTTAAAAGGGTCAGGGAGGCTGTGGAAGGAACCTTGATCCTCTCCATATTCATCATTTGACAAGAAAAAAAATCAACTTTTTCACATGCACAGATCTAATCTCAATCAGACTGCAAGATGTGTGTGTGTGTGTGTTTGTGTGTGTGTGTGTGTGTGTGTGTGTGTGTGTGTGAGTGTGTGTGTGTGTGTCTGTTTGTGTGTGTGTGTGTGTCATCTGAAGTAAAGGTTAGAAATCGGATGGCCTGGTCATCCAGAGGCCTCTGCCACTCATGTTACACTGGTTTGAGTTTCAGTGCTTGCTGCCTAATGAAAATAGCAATGTAGTCATACTCCACTTGTCTCCATGTGTGAAGGCTGTTTTGCAGATTTTTGTGAATGTTTTCGTAATAGTTTTCTTTTTGTTTGTTTTTTTTTTCTTTTTTTTTTCCGGGTTAACAGAAAACACAAGTTATTTCTATAGTGATCCCAGGCCTTGGCTTCCCTGCCTCCCTCCTCATGCCGTCAGAGCTCGAGCAGAAGCTGCTAACTTTCCTGCCAGTGAAGGACAAGTGAAGGGAGGGAGGAAAGAGGGTGGAAAGGGGGAGGAGGAGGAGGAATATGAATAGGGCAGTGGAGTGAGTGCAAAAAGGAAAGTGGAGGGAGAAGCAGAATAAAAGGAGAGCATGTTGACAAAGACCCCGGTTCACTTTGTTCTCTACTCTCTGATCCAAAATATTCATTGACAGATTTTCTGTCCTCTATCAAAACTTTCTCGTCTATCTTTTTTATCACCCCATTATTCATCACTGTTTCGCTTTCTCTCTTTCTCTGTCACATGCTTTCTCTCCCTCTCTTTTTCCCCTTTTCACTCCATTCTATTCATTGAAATGAGTTGGGGTGGGGGGTGGGGGGGGGCAAGTTCTTCTAATTGAAATTCTTTACAGGGTCTCCATGGGAATAGCAAACTTTGTGGTGAGGGAAAGAAAGACAGCAAGGGTGAACGAATGAAAGGGGGGGAAAAAAAGGGAGAGAGACAGAGACAGAGCAAAGACTGGGAAAGAATTTCCTCCAGTGCCTTATGAACGGGGAACATTCACTTCTTTTTCACGTTGATAGATTGTATTTCATTTTATTTTTATACAGCTCCCTCCCGTTTCCCCATCGCTCTCTTCCTCTCGCTGCCTCTCATTCTTTCTTTTTCTTTTCTCCTTTGTCACCTGTCACCCCTCCCTCTCTCCCCTCCACCCTCTCCATCTGCTTTACCCTCTTACTCCAATGCTAAAGAGGGACAATGGCACCCCATGCTGTGTAATGATGTGTGTGTGTGTGTGTGTGTGTGTGTGTGTGTGTGTGTGTGTGTGTGTGTGTGTGTGTGTGTGTGTGTGTGTGTGTGTGTGTGTGTGTGTGTGTGTGTGTGTGTGTTTGTGTGTGTGTGTGTGTGCGTGTGTGCATTAATACTGTATGTCGTAGCTCATCTATTCTTTGCTTTGTTCTCACAGGTCGATGATGCCATGCTTATGTTTGACAAAACAACCAACAGACACAGAGGTATGTAGTTACAGTCATACGTTATGTTAAAATGTGTTGGTATACTAAGTGACAAACCCAGAAACATGCCCTCATGAACGAAAGAGTGTAGGTGATTCTCCACAACAACAAAAAAAACAAAACGAGAATATTTCTCAAATCACAGTCTTTTGTCTTTCCTCTTCTTTGGCCTCCCCCTGTTCCATTTATCTCTGTCCTCTCTCAGTGAGTCAGAAGTGCAGCGCCCGCTGAGGGTCGCGATACAGGGTCAGGATGCTTGCAGGCGAGGATGTAACTTAATGAGACAAGTGAGGAAAGAGGGAGAAGGAAAAGAGTCGGCCAGAGTTAGAGGAAGTGGGTGTGATCATTGGTAGAGGACAGTAAATCTGGGCTCAGCTTTTGGTGAACCACGCCCCATCCCATCCCTGCTCCTCCATGATGCCAACACCTGACTGACAGGCTCATACTGATGTTGTCAGCTGCTTGCATTAGGAATGGTTGCTAGGGAAGGCAGAGGAGCATATTGAAGGGTGGATTGCAGTCACTTGTCAATTTTGTATCCATGTAATCGACCTTTACAATCTTGTGCTCTGCTGCAAGATTTGATCTCATCTCTCCTAACAGTCATATTATCAGCTCATATCCAGAGCTGTGAGTTTGCTGGATGCTGGATCCAGCAAAAATTTATAAATATATTGCTTCTTTAATGCTTACTAGAAATAAAAATTCAGTGCCTTTTACAACATTTTCTTCTTGGGTATAATTGCTGAGAAATGGGGCTTTGGGGTCTCTTCTACATATGTCTTTGTAACACACCACAGGATGTCACAAACATCACAAACATGAACAATCAGAGAGGTCACGTGTTGGAATAAGTGTGTGTTTATGTGTCTTCCAGGCTTTGGCTTTGTTACCTTTGAGAATGAAGACGTGGTGGAGAAAGTGTGTGAGATCCACTTCCACGAGATCAACAACAAAATGGTACACATCAACCTAGAGGTTTCAATATAATAACTAAAAGATATTTGATGATTAAATCTCCAATACATGTTCAGTTTATGTCATGTACTAAATGATCCAAAACATTATATTATTATGTTAGAAGGATTTGCTTGAGCTGCATTTAGTTTTCTAAAGCAGTGTTGTAAAATGTGGAGTTTATGAATCATGAGTCTGAGTATCAGTTAACATTAAATGAACATTTCCTTCCTATGTTTAAGGTGGAATGTAAGAAAGCCCAGCCCAAAGAGGTGATGACGCCGACAGGCTCAGCCAGAGGCCGCTCCAGAGTGATGCCTTATGGGATGGACGCCTTCATGCTGGGCATTGGCATGCTGGGTAAGATCCCAAATCAATATAAATGAAGTTGTGGTTTAGAGCAGAAGCTTAACACAACATAAACACTGAAATTTCCATTTTATGAAATAGATTTTTATAAAATGTCACAATTACTAATGTGTTTAATCATATAATTAAAGAGTATTTTGAATTATTACTGGAAAAAATGTCAAAAATTCAAATTATTATTCCAAAATACAGGCCAATTTAAAAGCTGCTTACTAAACATTTCACATGTAACCATATTTTATTGCATCAGAAAAGTTTGATGGCCATCTGACAGAGGCTCAGTTATAATACTTTCTGGACATTATCTCGCTGATCTCACCTGAACAGCAGCACCGTTAATGTGTGATAAATTTAGCCTTAGACCACTTTAGTGCTCTTTACACAACAATATAACTCATCATGTTAAGAATGTCTTCTACGGCTCCTTACATGTAGTATTTCTTAATATCATCCATGTACTGTTAAAAAAAATCCATCTGACTTAATCTAAAATTCTTTATTTGTTTGATAATGTTCTCTGAGCTGATTCTCATGTGCACATCTACAGTGGATAAAACAATGATGTATTTAAAATTTAGAGGTCACACACTGAAGGGCGACACAGTTCTAGACACTGGAGTAAAATACCACTCCAAAGAGACATTGAGAGAAGAAAACTGAGTGCTGCACTGGTGTCATCTGTTGCTGTTTGGCTCCCTCTACTGGACATTTGAGATTGTACTGTGCTGTTGTCGTCATAGTCTCAAGTCAATCATGTCAGGTTCGGTTTGTCGTAATTGGTCTTTGGTGACCCTGACCCTTGCAGAAATACGAGGGAAAAATATATTATGACGATAATATGCTTTAATCATATGTCCCCATGAGATGAGTTGATCCAGAGCTTCATTTTAAACTCAAAATATTCTGATTGAAATGAACCCAGAAAGAGAAAAAGAGAACCTACACACCTAAATATCATGTAATTAATACTTTTAACGATAATGTACAGTTTGTGACATCACATGCCTTGGATACTTAGCATACTTGCTGCATCAGAGCAGACACAAATGGCTGATGGGAGATTGGTCAGCTAAAACTCTCTGCAGCATGTGAATATATGGTTTCACACCTGAGGGACCAATTGTATTGACTCACTAATTTTCAAAATGAATATGACAAAAATCCTAATACTAATAACCAAATTCTCTTTAGGTAAAAGTAGGTGCCCTATATAGGTGCTAATCACAGTATAAGCTAAAAAGAGATTGAATTCACCACATGCTGATGGTTTAGTGTCTGTGTGCTCATTGTTTTTTACGTCAACAGATCATTCTTTCATAAAGTTCATCTTCATGTATGTTTGTCCAGCCAAGTTAACAAAACCAATGATTTTCTCTCCCTTTCTAACAGGCTATCCAGGTTTTCAGACTGCTACCTACACCAGTCGCAGTTACTCTGGAATTGCGCCCGGTTACACTTATCAGTTCCCGGGTAAGTCTGTCCACACATTACACCGAATTCACACTGTATAGCTCTGCGGACAGAGAGAGAGGACAGGCTAAAAGGATACAGGCTGCGGCATATAGTTGATTCAGCTGTGAGCACCGGGGTCATGAAATGTGTATGAACTACAAGACCCATGTGGATTACACACACATATAAGATTAATACCATCTTGATCTCAGAAGAGTCTTTGGCTGCTTGTGGATTTTTAGAGTTTGATTTTTAAAGTGTTCTTGCTGTTTTTGTTTGAAACCTTCCTCCTCTAAAATATCTCCTCATGTTTCAAATCTCAAATGTTGATCTCTGTGCTTTGATTTGTGATATTTGCCTGTTTTCCTCTTATATTCTTCTGTGTTTATTTTATCTACTTATGTAACCCCCTTTCATTTGGCTGTGTCGCCCCTCCTTTTCCTTTGCTCCAACCTTCCTGCCCTTCCTCAATGTGGATTTGTAACTTTCTGTGCTTGTGCGTCCATGTTAGCGTTCTCTTGTGACTACATGTCTGTGTTTGTGTGGCTTTGTAGTCTGGCCGGTGGATGGTGACTGTATTTATAATAGCGCTCTCTCTCTCGACCTTCTTTGTTTCTAGAATTCCATTTAGAGAGGACCCCCCTCCTGACATCATCCCACCCCCCTGAGCTGGCAGGTCAGTGGTTTCTCACTCCCTCAAGGGCCCCCGAGAGAAAAAAAAAGCAGAGAGTAGAAATGAAACTGCTGTGCGTTTGGTGTCACTGCTGCTAAATACAGTAAACCTGGATGACAGAATCTTCATAGATGTACTGTAGAGCTAAAGCTACGCTGACCAAGGATCAGTTTGGCTTCACACGTCTAAGGCTGAACATCTGAGTGTGTCTCCCAAAATGTCAAACTATATCTTTTGGCTTTATGCAAAGTGACTGTTCTTGTGATAAGAATAATCAGGTAGTTTACTGTAACAATAAACCATTTCACTCGGGGGATAAAATGGGTAGAAAGTATTTGTAGTTTTGTTTGATCATTCCAGGGTATTTTATTTTTTCAGTCGTTGTGAAAACGCATCTTTAAAGAAATCTGTGATGCTGTGGCATCAAATGATCCTTTAAACTTCCAATGAGCTTTCTGTCTGTGAATCCTGGGGTCATGTTCACAAAGTGTCCAAAGCTCAGAGCAAGAGAATGACTTTGACGGACTGAACTCCCAAACTAAGAGAGGGTGTTGGGAAAAGGGGTAAAAATTAAATTAGAAATTACATTTAATTAAAAAGAAATTAAAGAATAATTTAATGTAAATAAGATAACAAATTGAAATTGGAAATGAAATTGAAATTAATTATGTGTGATTAATTATATATTAAATATTAGATATTTTATAAATTATGTTACACATTTCACACATGAAACAAAATAAAATATTCAATATTAAAATCTGCTTTATTTATTTTTTTCATTTGGTGATCCACAAATGGTGGCTCTGAGTAGCATTAATACATTTTTGTTTGAGGAGTCATTCTCATTGTTGATAGGTAATTTGATTCTTAAGCGTACATCAAAATATACATTTAAAAGTTTATTTTTGTTTTACTTTTCCACAGTACCTGCAGTATTTGACTGATTGTGAGCAGGTTTTAGTAACACATGACTCTGCAGGACGCCTCAAACTTATCTCAGAAACAGACCTGCTTTTAGCGCTACAATGATTTGTGAATAACTCTCATCCTAAAATCTTCAGAGTCCTAAAGTTTGAACTTTTTATGAGTCCCACATGTAGCCTCAGGATATTTTGTGAATATGGCCTCTGATCTACAAGCAGCTCCTGCAGCTCTGCCTTTATACTGCCATCTAATGGCTCTAAGTTGTACTTGCCTCTTTATTTGGAAACGTCATCCTCCTTGTTTTACTCAGTAACATTATTTTTTCCATCGTTAAAGAGACTAAAGTTCAGTGTGTTTTGATGTTATTTTATTTCGTTGATGCAGTTGTTTTTTGGATTTTACCCCTTCCACCAGTTGGATTGAAATCAGATGACAGATGTGTGAGCAGATGTTGACACTGAGCTGTAGTTTGTTGCTTATGATTTGATATGAGAGTGATCCACAGTGAGTTGTGTGTGCAACAATGTGGTTTGTCTTTAATCCTCAGCCATTCCGCTGACTGCATATGGACCAATGGCAGCAGCCGCAGCAGCAGCAGTAGTTAGAGGTACGTGTGTGTGTGTGTGTGTGTGTGTGTGTGTGTGTGTGTGTGTGTGTGTGTGTGTGTGAGAGAGAGTGAGAGAGAGTGTGTATGAGATATGTTGAGACAAACCCATGTGTCTACTTGTGCATATTTGTAAAGTTGCCTTAGGTAGAGGTTGTACAATAGCCTGCTTGGACAAATAAAAGAATATTTTTAGACATGTCTGTCTGTGTGTGTGTGTGTGTGTGTGTGTGTGTGTGTGTGTGTCTGTGTGTGTGTGTGTGTTTGTGTAGAAAGCCCTCTAGTGTTGTTGAAGCCTGACTTGTCTCCTCTGTCTTTTAGGCTCCACCCCTTCACGCACAGCTGGCTTCCTGGGCACCAGCAGCCCTGGACCAATGGCTGACCTGTATGCTGCAGCCAATCAGGACTCAGGAGTCAGCAGCTACATCAGCGCCGCTAGCCCTGCCCCTAGCACAGGGTTCGGCCACGGTCTAGGGGTAAGTGACACACACACACCCCCTCATACACACATTGAATACATGCATAGATGCACTTATGTATTCACAAAGCAAAGAGAAAGTATTCACTCTCTGTCACTCTCTGTGTGTCCTCAGGGTCCTCTGATTGCTACTGCGTTCACTAATGGCTACCACTGAGAAGACTCAGGTCACTGAAGATGGGAGGGCTTCTCCTCTGCTGATGAGCCAATCACAATGCTGGCTGCCCACTGATGGCACAACCTGATTGGCCGGCCACAGGCTCTACCGGGCCCTCCTGGGTCCCTGTGGCTCCACCCACCGACTGAATATCTTTTTAAATCCTGAACTCTTGTTTTGATGTACTAATCTCACTTCAACATAACGTCCCCTTCTCTCCTCTTTTGTCCTCATGTAGTCTAATAACTAGATTCCACCCACTGTTATCCTTTCTTTTGAAGCTGAGAAAAGAAAAACTGCAAAAAAAAAAAAGAAAAAAAGAAAAAAAATCTCAGAGGAAACATTTGTCATCTTCGACAAAGACACAGAGGACTATTGAGTTTTTTTTGTATTATTATTATTTTATTTCAATGTGATAAGTCGTTTCATCATGATCCTTCAAAGCTGTTACTAATGTGACCAGAGAGAGAAAAAGCCGTGCAAGATGGGTCATTGTCTGAAAACCATTTTTAACAAAGGAAGAACAAATCCAACAAAGTCCTTTTTTTTAAAACTCAAGCTTCACGGAAACACGGAAAAAAACTAAAATGTATATTTTGGTAGTCTTTAAAAACAAAACCTTTGTAATATTGTTATTAATATTGACATAATAATGATAATCTGTAAGGTATTTTATTCTGTAATTGGTTTTAAAGCAATGTTTTTATGTCTTCCTGTAAGATATTGTACATAGACGTTGGGGTGGAGGGGTGGGGGGTGGAGGGGTTACTGAACCGGCTGGCATGCCATTGGTTGGTTTGGAAAGGGTTAACAGCAGGATGTCATCTACTACTTTGTGTGGTCATCTCACTTCTTTTATCAGTATGCATATGGTATATGTGTACGTTGTTGGCCAGTCCGCTCCAGCGTCGCCTCAGTGACGATAACTGTCAAGAGCTTCCGGGGAGTTTTTCTGGCATATTTGTTCAGTTCAAAAACTTTACAAAGTCACGGCTTTGTTTTCTTTGCTTCTCGAAAAAGCAACCTTGACTTCATAGTTTTAACACCATGATGAACCAGATTTCTTGTATCTTCATGAAAACTACTCCAGATTAAGATGATGGACTACAGAAGAATAACACCTTCAAACAGGAGAAATCAGGGGTTCACGGGGTTGGGGGCTGACTTGACTTCTTCTTTTTTGAAAATATTATATATATTTTTTTGTGCGATTCACTTCTTAATGTTTTTTTGTTTATTTTCTTTCTTTTTTTTTTTTTTTTTTAAATTCTTTTATGCGGTGTTCTCCACCGTGAAAACAAATGAAGGACATTCTCAGAGAAGCAATTGTAGAAAACATCACGGTCATGTTCTGTCCTCTTATCACTATTGAAGGTGCATGTGATTGCGTCTGAGTGTGTGTGAGTGAGTGTTGTGCGCATACATCAAGGTGTAATATGGAACTACTTTTGGCAACGAAGGAGCATTTCGATTGCCTTTTTTTGGTACTGAAAAAAAAAAAAAAAGATTGCCCTGTTCCATTTTGGCTCATCTGCTCCTCTCCCCTGCCTCCCTCCCATTTCATATTTAGTTTTAATAAATTTGTGCTCCTCTGGAACTGACATATTATTATTAATATACAGTTGCTGCTCCGTGTAGTGGTGAACAGAGGGGGTTTGGGCAGGTAACCAGAAATGGAACAGGGTCTCGCTCCCAGTGGGCTCTGATACAGGACCTCAGTACAGACAACACTGGCTGGCAGGAAAAGTCAGAAAGCTGGAACAAATTCAACATTTAAAAAAAAAACAAGCAGGCTGTTTGTTCAGCCTTCTTGCTGCAGCCTGTTTGATGTTCAGCACAGCAGAAAACTTCCTGATCCAGCCAGTCGTTCCTCTGTCAGACCGCCTGGGACACGACATAAAACTACTGCTGGACACCAACACTGTAACTTTTTAACTTACAATAAAGCAATAAGTTATTTTTTACCTTACAAATGAAAATAGTACTATTATTGGTAATAGCAGACGACGTGTGGATAATTCTGCGGCATTAAGACTTATTTTCAGAAAAAAAAAGAACTATATTTTTCTGTTTTGAGATCTTGTTCCCCTTGTATATTGATTTTAATGATGTCTTTTTGTTGTGTTGATGTAAGGAAAAGGGCCAATGCTTTGAATGGAGCTTGTAGCTCTACATGAGCTCAGTTAAAGTTTAAGTTTTGGGCTGTCCTCTGCCAAGCTTTACAGCAATGCTTTTATTTTTTTTCCTTGTTTTTTTCTGACAATTTCAATTTTAAAATCCTAATAAATTATTCTAAAGCATTTGACTGTGATTGTTTTGTTTTACTATACATTTGACTGTATATACAGGCATACTGATGTCATACATGTTGACCAGTGATGACATCACAATCTTAGGTTCAAAAATGCGGCTTTGGAATTTCCAAATGGCTTTTTTTATTTCTATAAATGAATTTGACCTAAATCTCCCCTTTGTAGGAATTTCTGAATTTGGCGTCTCCTGGTGGATGTATAAAAAAATGACACCCCTCCCCAGGGGGCTTTGACCTGGAGATAATGTGCATGGCTTTCTGGCAAAAGTTCTGCTAAATTGAACTTTGACCCCAAATGAGCATCCAATGGGATTCTGCCATTGATGAGAGGTGGAAATTAAAGTCTCAATTATCAGTAAGGATACCTGGTTAGAAAATGTACATTTTGTTTGTTTACATTCTGATGTAGCCTGCAGAATTCAAGCAAACCATTTGTACCGTTTGTCATTCTGCACACTAACCCAGGCAAACTATTCACTCTTACTTATTCGGCTTGAAACCACCAACAGACGATTGAGATTGTTTTTTCTACAATTATAAACTTGCCAAAAATAATTTTAGAAAGGTGTCATAATCATAAAATATCTTAACATGGTGACTTTAAAGACTTGTTACAGTTATATTCTATGCCTGTCACCATTGTTGCGTGTACAACAGGCCTCTGCCCTGACCCTTTGTGACCCTGGTGCCATGTGCACTAGCCTTTCTTTCTCATGGCCTACATACCTCTACCTCTAACATCAAGGAGGTGCCCGTTGACCATTATTTTGTTTTGTTTTGTTTTGTAGGGATGGCAATATCGATCAAGCAGCTGGTCCACCGCTGTGATCTCAACAGCTATTATATATATATAAATTTGTACAGACACTCACCTTCTCTACATAGTGAATTGCAATGTGATTTAGCGCCATCATCAGGCAACTGTGCAAAACTAATGACACTCCAAGTTTAAATGGTGAAAAAGATACAGTTAATGGAAAAGGAGGACCTGTTTACCATGGGCAGCCTGATTCCTTCAACTGTGTTTTTTTTTTTTTTTTTTTACTGTGATACTTCCAGACGATCAATGATATAGGGGTAAATGCATGGTGCAGCAGAATCCCTGATCATCGTACACTGGATGTGGTGAACTGGATTAACAACATTCATACACGTTACACGGCACTGAACTGTTGAGGGGGATCATTTCAATGTATCAGCATGTTGTGTGTTTCTATGCGGTGCCAGCAGTGGTAAACAGTCTGATCCCTCACACTTCTGCTCAGGGCAGCGTCCTGGACTGAGGCCAGCAGGGTTAGTGATCCTGTCCCCTCTGCCACCTCACTCCTGCTCCCCTCTCCCCCCACAAACTGCAGCTTTGAAAGAGGACTAGCACACAACACAACAGATTTATCAACAAGACTTTCAAACTTTCTTGTCAAAAGTTGGACTTCAACTCCTCAAATTGGATTTCTGTTCTTTTAAGTTCTGCTTTTTTGCAGCTTATTTTTCACCCTTATTAAGTTGGGTGTTTTTCACCCCCTGACTGTGTTTCATTGCAGGTACAATGGCTCTTGGCGTCCTAAATACACAAGTGAAAAGTTCCTTGAATGGGAGTGCATTTTTTGACCATGGTTCTATAGAGGAGCAGGAACCTCCACCTCCACTCCGTAGCTACCTTTGTTTGACTATTTTCACCTGCTTTTGTCCTGCATACCCTGTCAACATTGTGGCCCTGGTCTTCACTATCATGGTAAGCATTGACTATGTATAACTTGGCTAAGCTGATGGCATCTCCTGAATATATATCATCTTATGGTATGCAGAGGAACTGCTATGTATCATTAAGGAAATAACGTGTCAGTGTGAACAGAAATGTGTTTTCTTCAGTGTGTTACATGTGCTTCAGTTACACAGTGTTCTAACATGTTGTGTTGTGAGTGAATATGTTGGACACTAAGATGTAACCCAGTCACACACACCTGCTCTGCCCATCAAACAAACCTACTTGAGCTTCCATTTTGGAAAATGAAACAAAATTTCCATGCTGCAGCGCGATGATTTAAACATTCAGTTAGTGGCCAAACCACAAACGAGACTGTCGACACTGTATTCTGTTCTCCGATTTGGTAATCTGTCTGCTGGCCTGCTAACTCTTGCTTTACCAACATTTTAGAGAATACAATTTAACCATTAGAGCTTGTGGCTAAGAAAGAAAGCTGAGTAAAGAAAGCTTTACATGACACGTTATAGTTTACATAATTTTGTCAGTTCAAACAAATCTTGGAGTTTTTAATTTTTCTGTCGCTGATTAAATACTCAGTGGATTTGTTATTGCAGCAGTTTTTAAAGTAAAATCTTCTGTTTTATATTTTAACAGTGATTTCTTATTCTCAGTCTAGAAAGAGTTATTATCAGGGTGACTATGATGGGTCCAGGCGGCTGGGCAGGAACGCTCTCTATGTTGCTATCGCCTCCATCATCATTGGCCTTCTCATCATTGCCATCACCTGCATTGTTCATTTTACCACAGTAAGGCCTCCCTTTTCTGCTCTGCTCCCACTCACACAGCCACTGTGCCTCACTGCAATCACAGTCTGATCTTTCTATAACCGTCTCTCACCCCAAAGCTAGTATGTCTCTTAGGAATTAGGAGTGCATTGCTTGTTTTTGTGAACAGATTTGTGCCTCTTTGGTCCAATTTTTTCTAAGGTCATTTTCTAAAGAGGACAAAGGTTCTTATTCACCCATAATCCTAATTTTGAGAGCAGTCAAGACAAACAATCTCTAATTTATGTACCCAGGACTCTCTGGAAAGACATTCTGGACTAAAGTAGTTTGAAATTACTTTACTCTGGTGAACTAAAGTAATTTGAAATTGATGCAGTACAGAGGTGGAAGGGAGTGTGAAAGAGAGGGGTAATATCATGTATGAAATCTGTATCAAAGGGTTAGGGTTAATTATATAAGACCAAACATTTGATGTTTCTAAATTAAACACTTTACAACACATCATCAAACATAAGGCTGCCCTTAATGTGAAAGTCCTTGGTTTAAAATATTTCTCTTCATGTTTCAGATGGATTTTTAGCACTGTGGAAGTGGAGAGATGGAGAAATGAACTGAGACACAGAAAACTCTAAGAAGACATGTTGAACCTCTGTTGATCTCTGAAAGGAGTCAGGTGGTTGGTTCATACCATCTGCTGATGAAAGGACTTCAATCTTTGCATCACCTCATGTTTCCTGTTCTTTACACGACAACCAACCAAGTAGTATAAAATGTGATGAATGTATTCAACCTTTCAGTAATTCATTTTAATGATGCTTTAAATTAAAAAGGCAGCTTTCAAGTGTGAGGGGAATCCACAGTTCACAGCAGGTTGTGTTTCAAAATGTATTTTCACTATTCACTAAAATATTGCTAGAACTAGAATGATATTAATAAAAAATAAATAATTAATAATAATAACTTTTTTTTATTTAATGTTCAACAATTTAAAATTTACTGGTCTAAAATTCTTACCCTTTGTTAGAAATATTTAGTAATTGCAATGATAGATAGCATTTTTATTAATTATTATGATATTGTGTACTGTGTGTTTGTGGTAACAAAAATAAAATAACTTGGGATTTTTCTCACTCTGTATTTATCATAAACATCTCTAGAAACCTGAAGCTTACTTTTCAGAATTAGATCCAAACCTACCTACGGTTGCTGTTATCTGATTCCTGTTTTAATAGGGTTGCAACCTACATGTTTTGCATTACATTAGATTAGTAGTTTAGACACGTTTCATCATGTTTATTTTTCCTAGATTAGACTAGAGCCACACTGTGTTGACAAGCCATGGCCTGGCTCCAGACTGGGCCAAATTTGGCATCAAAGCCATTATATAAAAGTAAACACAAACTAAAGATCATATAACTTGTCTTTGAGACTCTTTACACCTGTTGTGTATCATACCTTCACACCCACACCTCTTTTTGATGAGTAATTTTTTGTTGTTTGTTACAAATGTTTCGCTTTTCTCCCTCGCTCACTGAGAACCCTGCTTAAAGCTTGAACTACAACCTGCTTTGCTGGGTAATTTTCTTGTAGTTTGATATGTCATAGTATATCCCTAACTAAATATAGCAGATTTCCACCTCCACATTGCAGGTTGTCCAGCCTGCCACATGGTCAAGAAAAACTGACCCTGTTGCGAGGTAACTGAAACATATGAAAAGTGTCATAAAAAGGTGGGAGTAAATAAAGTGATGATTCAGACGGGTTCAAACAGGAGGGTCCTGATCTCGTGTGTGTATTTCATCTCATCTCATAACTCTTTTTTTTTTTTTTTTTATTGTTGCTCCTGGACAACAACACTATTTTTTTTTTATTTTCATTCATTTCACAGCTCTCCATGCTGTAACAATGTGCTCCATGCACCCCGAGGACATAAATTACACATACATGCTCTACATGAAACAAAATGTACTGTTTGGGTCTTCATATTTTATTTGCAGTATGAGCCTTTCCCGTCAAACCCATTTTCAGCACGCAGGTGCAATTCAAAGCAGGGCCTGTGATGTAAAACGCCTGCTGCCAAGTTTCAGCAGTTATTCTAATGCACTTGGACAAATTAGTTTTGGCAGTAATCTTGTACTATTATATCCCATTACTTGAAAGAGAAATGCAGTGTGTTTGTAGTGCCACCTCTTTGATGTCACACCAAAGTGAAACTTGAGAGAAGGAGATGAAAAATGAAATGAGTGCAGGGTTTAGGCGACTTGAAAGCACTTCGTAAGATTATCAAGGGATAAAGGTAGACTTTGTGACAGGAACGTGATAACCTCACAAAATAATGAAGCTCCTTCGTTTTGAAATTTTCACACAAACAAAATGTATTAACTAGTTTACATTCAATTTTCCATGCTGAATTAAAGGCAGGTTTCTGATTTCCAGCTCGGTGAGACGAATACTTTTATTCTTTGGTACGACAATAGTGAGTTATTTTCTTTTCCCGCTCACATTCACAGCATCAGCTCACCTGAAGCTATTCTGTTGTGTTGAGAGCTGCACCTCCATAACTCAAATGAAGTGCTCATAACTAGGCCACTCAAACCAGCTGCTTCCATTAGCACCAGATAGAGCCTTCATGTGAACATATCCCATGACACATTCCTCCCAGGGAGCAGCAGTTTGATCCAGTTTGCATAAATGAAAGGGGATAACTGTGGGAACGATGCAGAGCAGGCAGGGAAACATAAACATGCATTTACCTGAGACCATAAAACAGAATATCCTCAAGGATTCACTTTTCTATACTGACAAAATATTTCTTTTAATGTTATACTTTATTTTTTAAATACTGATTTTTGTCACTGGTTTCACTACAGCTGCATTGATTGACCTTGTAAGAACAAGCTGGAGAGACAGGATAGACATATTACCACCTTAGAGAATTCCTAAGGGAAACTGTATTAGCAAACAGCTGTCTGTTTACACATCCAACAGATATGGAGCAACATTATCATTTGGAGTTGTGTTTCTGTCTCACTGGTGAATGCAAGTCCCAGATTCACTCTCATTAAATCTCTGTTTTTGGTTCTCACCAACTCCTGAGAAAAGTATCTGGTTCTGTAGCTGCTAGATGCTTCACTGTGTTTTCAACTTTTGTTTTTGTGTTATTAGTGTGCTGTACAATGGGCATTTAGAACTTTTTTTGTTGGCTGCGTCTGGAAACAGTGCTAACGAGAGCTGTGGGAGTGAACCAAAACAGTACAGTTGCTATTGCCTGAAAACCAAAACAATAAGCTGAAAGACGCTAAAACGCTCCGTGGAGCTGAGGCTAAGTGTAAAGTTTGGGGACAGTTCTCTGTGGGTTCATCCCGCAAGTGACCGAATTCGCAAACCTCAACAACTCCTTTATCCACAGAATGTTGTGTTAGCTACGACGTGATCCTTACAGTTACAGTATTCTGACATTTACCAATGGGGACCAACAGGATAATTCTGCACCGCTGATGTTTGTTACTGTTGATGCAGTGGGTCAGTGAATACATTTGTTGGTCATTTGAGAAAACTGTCATCATGTATTTGTAGCTGTCAGTTGCTGCGGTGCTTTTCCCTCTGTACTTAAAGTGTTGACACAGTATTTTGACATGCACATCTACACAGATATTACTCACGTCGACTCAGATCACTGCCCTCTCGAAGTGCTGCTCACTACTGATTGTAACAGACTCTAATAACATTTTAACTGGTTGGTTGTCAAGGCAGACCTGGTTATTGTGTTTTGTTATGTAAAAGAATTTCATTAGTCTTAATGTGTTATCTTTATGAAGTGATGCTATAAAATGTTAGGTAGATTTTAATTTGCATAACTATTCAGTGTATTGCTTTTGTTGTTTTGTAATATATTGTTTTTGGAATTCACTGCATCAGGGAGAGTAACCTGTAAGAAGTGCATCTCTGGCCTGCTGCAATTTGTTCTCTGCATGACAGGAATGACCTTTGAAAACATGTGGTAGAAAAATCATTGCCACAAACTGGGTCACGACTGTGGGCCATGCACATTAGAACAATATGGATGATCCATCTTGTAGTGCATATTGTCATCACACAAATAATGGCTATACATATATAAATATGAGCAAAACCACAGGCATCTGTGTGTGAAAACTGCACCTTTCCACTGGATGCACACCACCAATTAAATCTAATGTCCAAAAAAGGAACTACCAAAAGTTACATCTCTTAATTATAATGTAATGACACTGTTACTAATTTATTGTATGTAGTAATGACATCAGTCAGAGTGTAGGGTCTACCAAGACTGTGCTAAATTAAAAACAGCATCTACTAAACTGTTCGATTGTGAATTACATGTCTTTAGCTCCATTCTGATAAGTTCTACTTATTAACTATTAACACACACTACGTGTGTGGCTGTGTTTCAGCTGGAGGAGTGGTGCCGAGCCACCAGGGGAGATTATAACACTGCCGTGTAAAGACAACCAGGCTCCTGTGTGGGATGTAAGTGAGAATGAGAAACTAAACGTATGTTAATGTTATTGTTCTTAAAAAATATTTGGTGGAATGTGCTTATTAAAAAGGTTCATGTGTACATTTGCTCAGGCAGTGGAAAACAGATCAGACCTTAATGATGGTTCATTTTAGGTTTGGTTTGATATGCAGAGTCAGTGTCTATGAGTTGCCTGGTTCTAAAATCCCTGAATTTGCAAGATCTTTTTTTTCCACAATGAAATTACATATGAAGCTACGGCTGAAAGCAGCAGTATGAATACGGCAACTAGCTTCTAATATTGACAGAAAAAAAATCAAGAGACTCTGTTTTTGTATTTAGAGATAAAATAATAAAATAAAAATCATGTGTGAATTTAATAAATAATTGGAAAAATGAGATGAGAATCATAAATCTAACCGTGTTTAAAAAAAAAATAGCTGCATATACAGCACACTGTATATACTATGTGTATACACATGACTGAGCAATCACAGCACATCAAGCTAAGTTCCTCATTATGGTTTAATAACCATCTTAATTTGAAGTAAATATTAGTTGTTCAGTTATTGAGCTTTTAGGAACAGTTAGAGGGCTACAGATATAATACAGCAGTGAATCTTGAAATATATTTCAATATTTCATTGGTAGTTCTTGAACTTTAAGTGGAACACCCCTCTGCACAACTAAAGTCTAAAATTATGTCATGCAAGGACAATAGGATTTCAGGTGATCTGTCTTTCTGTGAAAGCAAAAGATTCTTTGAATGTACAGTGAAGACCTTGATGGAAACTTTTATCTTGAACAAAACTTGTCAAACTGTCCAACATAAAAAGCAGTTGGTGCACATCAAACTCAATCTTCAGCAGCTGTCTGAATCTGGGAATAAAATAAGTTTGAAGAAAGGTTTCCCTCCCACACATTTTCAGTGATTTAAACAATAATTTCACTGGTGCGTGGATTTAGATTTATGGCAACCAGATGACAGATGAAAATGTTGCTGCGGATAGAGGTGTGTACAGCTAGTTTCACATATAGTCTAATTCCTGCTCATTTTAACATGCCATCATTTTGTGTTAGAAATCAGTTTCTGTGGTTAGTCTTTGATTAAACTGATGGCTTGAAATACTCATAATGAAAAAAGGTCTAACAGTACTAGTACGTGTCTGTGTTTGCTGTACTCCCTCTTGGTCTTTCCTG